GGTCGGTAGGTTTGAGGTGTTGGACGGTAGGTGCTGTGCTGGTGTTGGTCGGTAGGTTTGAGGTGTTGGACGGTAGGTGCTGTGCTGGTGTTGGTCGGTAGGTTTGAGGTGTTGGACGGTAGGCGCTGTGCTGGTGTTGGTCGGTAGGTATAAGGTGTTGGACGGTAGATGCTGTGCTGCTCTTTTCAGTCTTAGAAGAGCCGGAGGAGTCGGAGGTGGTTGCAGAAGAAGTGAAGGAGTTGAAGTGTTAGTAGAGTGATGGAGACGGAGGGAAAGTGGTACTCTGTCGGCAGTATAATGGTTGAGATGGGGATGCAGTTGCAGGTGAGGTGTTAAAGGTGTCAGTATTGAACTTTGCTGGCAGATGAGTGGAAGCTGCATGGTTGTCTTGCAAGGGATAGCTCTGGTGAGCTTGTGGTGATGTTGTTAGTTGATCTGGGAGCAGGGGTGTTATTTATGAGAAGTTTGTATTATTGGAATGGAAGCTGATACCGGTGGTATAGATGGTCTTAACGAGGATGGAAGAACAGATGGCAGTTGTTATTTGGTGATGGAAGATCAATCGGATTTGGCAAGGGGAATCAATTGCTAGTTGACGGTTAAGTACAATATGTTAATGGAGGACTGGACAACCTTTAATAGCAGACTGTGCTGCATCTGATTCAGCATCAAAAGGAATATTCTTGAGTGGGCAAGAATAAGGAAAATCAATTAACCCTTGTCATTTAACTATTAGAGTCTGCTAATTGGGAAGCACATATCAGAATGGGAATGGACACCCCTTTCTGATCTGGGTTGTCTCAGAAGGCGGGCTCTGGGGCTGTAGATGGTTGAGTACATTATGGTAGTTGAGGATTGGACACCTTTTCCTGCCAGAAGTGGGCTGAACCAGAAGCAGGATCTCTTGAGATTTTCTATCAAAAGAAAAGAAGTTCAATTGATCTTTCCCTTTAAGAAAAAAATGAAAAAGTTACTGATCTTCTTTCACCACAACCAAAGGGTCTGCCAACTCGCATTTAATTGGAAGAGGAGTGGACTCCCTTTTCTTAATGAATGTTGAATGGAAGACCCAGGGAAGCTTATGGTCAAGTGCAGCATGCTGGAAGAAATTGGGGCCTTCTCTTCTAGCAAAACTGAGCTCAGTCATAGCATAGGATCTGGAGGTGTATTCTTGACATGGCAATAATAAAGAAAAAAGCAACAGATCATCCCTACTATTAAATTGAAAAGAAAAATCCTGCCGACCATCCTGAACTTCTCCCTAAGATAACTAAAGCATCCACTCCCTGTATCCAGAAGCATTTCCTTGAAGAGACACCAGAATATAAAAAAATAAAAACATTTACAATCAGTGCACAGAAATTTGCTGGCCACTGGATTGTTAATATTGTATAATAGGTTGAGTAATGCTTGCATTACCAACCCTCTTTCAATTCTCTCATAGTTTATAGGCACCGGGTGAGTTTCAGAGGAGGAGAATAGTGTGTGGTTGGAACCCTCTATTCACTGCTGAAATTGACAGTGCTACTTATTTATAGTATAGTGATAAACATACGATAAACCGGTATTCAATTGTAGGTGTTCGTGTCAGCATACACTGGTACATATACCGACAACAGTAAAATTAACCAGTATTCAATCTTAGGTATACTTATTGCTAGGATACACTGATGAACATGCGCTAAACTATATACCCAAACCCCAATGTATCTCCCTCGAGCTCTCTATTCACCGCTGAGATTGGTAGCGCTTTATATTCATTTTACACTGATAAACAGACGATTGGCAAAACTACTGGTGGACCATATCGTCTCACTACCAATGTATCTTCTCATCGGAGCCCCACGCATTATTTTGCAACCTTTTATGCACGAACAGTCCTGCATAGCTTAGAAAATACTCCATCTTAGAAAACGCGTTCTGACATTGTACACGTAGCGTCAACTTGACAGTGTTATTTTGCACATACAAATTCAGTGCGTTACTATGCGTATGAGTGCGGTAGGGAAGAACAGCGAGAAAGGAAGGTCGAAATTTTTCAAAAAAAAAAACGCACCACGTTAGCACTAAGTTCTTTCAGTACCATTAGAAGACATCAAGCCTAATTCTCAGTCTTAAAGCACAATTTATTGGTTTTAGAACACAGAATTGTTTTTTCTTGGACATTATTGACTATTAATTATGGCTCCTAAGAAGAAAACAGCCAAGAAGGTTGGTTCGTCCAGTCCCAATGACCTCTTGTCCATTGATCCAGTCTCAGCACCAGTGTTCGGTAAGGGTAACTTTAGAACATTCTTAATCACAGACAAGTTTTTCAATTCTTCGAGCTCAAGAAGATTGGTCAAGCAAGAGTACGTTTTACTTGCCGGATTACTTGCTGCCTCAGTGTATATTCGTTGTACCTCATTACTTCAACCACACTCTGTCGTTTTCGATGAAGTTCATTTCGGAGGCTTTGCCAAAAATTACATCAGGGGTGACTACTTTATGGATGTTCATCCACCTTTGGCCAAAATGTTGTTCGCAGCAGTTGCCTCGTTGGCAGGCTTTAAGGGAGACTTTGAATTTGAAAAAATTGGTGACAAATTCCCAGTTGATGGCCCTCAATACTACTACTGGATGAGATTGTTTCCAGCCCTTTTGGGTGTAGGAACTATCTTGTTAAGTTACTTGACATTGAGACTGTCAGGATGTCGTCCAATTGTTTGTTTGATCACTGCTGGTTTATTAGCCATTGAAAATGCTCAGATCACATTAAGTAGATACATCTTGTTAGACTCTCCATTGATGTTCTTCATCGCTGCTTCAATTTATGCCATGAAGAAGTTTGAAGTACAAAAACCATTTAGTTGGGGCTGGTACAAGGCCTTAATTGCATGTGGTATCAGTTTAGGTTTAGCATTGAGTTCCAAGTGGGTTGGTTTGTTTACCGTTGCCTGGTGTGGTTTATGTTGTGCATATCAATTATGGCTCATTATTGGTGATTTAACTGTATCCCAGAGTAAGGTCATTCACCATATCTTTGCCAGAGGTTCATTATTGTTGGGAATTCCAGCCATTTTGTACTTGATATTTTTTGCCGTTCATTTCAATGTTTTGGTTAACGAAGGTGATGGTGGTCCATTCATGTCACCTGCCTTCAGATCTACTTTAGTTGGTAACACTATCCCTAAGGATATAACTGCTCAAGTGGGTTGGGGTTCTACCGTCTCTATTCGTCATTTAGAAACTTTAGGAGGTTACTTACATTCTCATTCCCATTTCTACCCAGCTGGATCCAAGCAGCAACAGATTACTTTATACCCACATTTAGATGAAAACAACAATTGGATAATTGAGCCATATAATGATACTATATCTGATACTGAATTTGTCCAATTGACTGACGGTATGAAAATTAGATTGAGGCACGTTGTCACTGGACGTAGATTACATTCTCATGACGAGAAGGCACCAGTTTCTGAAAGAGACTGGCAAAAGGAAGCCTCTTGTTATGGATACGATGGATTCGGAGGTGATGCCAATGATGACTTCATTGTTGAGGTTGTTCCTCAAAAGACTCCTGTACACGCCCAGACTGAGGTTAGAGCCATTGAAACTGTCTTCAGATTAAGACATGCAATGACCGGACACTACCTTTTCTCTTCTGCAGTTAAGTTACCAGATTGGGGTTTCGAACAACAAGAAGTTACAACTGCCTCCCAAGGTGCAAGACACTTGTCTCACTGGTACATTGAAACCAACGAGAACCATAGAATTCCTGCTGAAAAGAAGGAATTCATTAGCTACAAGGTACCAACTTTACTTGAAAAGATAATTGAATCTCACAAGAGAATGTGGAAAATTAACAACAGTTTAACCGATCACCACAACTGGCAAAGTGATCCAACTGAATGGCCATTCTTGCTCAGAGGAATTAACTATTGGGTCAGAGAACATAAGCAAGTTTATTTGTTAGGTAATGCCGTTGTTTGGTGGTTAACCACAATCTGTATTTTAGCTTTTATTGTTCATGTTGGTGTCTTAGTTTTACACTGGCAAGTTGGCTTCTACAAGATTGAAGGAAGTTCTAAGGAAGTTTTCAACTTCAACATTCAAACTGCCAGTTACGTTTTAGGTTGGGTCTTACATTATGCACCATTTTACATTATGGGTAGACAATTATTCTTGCACCACTACATTCCAGCCGCTTATTTTGGAATTTTAAGCATGGGGCATTTCTTTGAAATCTTTGTTGGATATTTCAGCAACGTAGGTAAAGGACAAAAAGTGAGAATTTTTAGTTGGAGTATGATTTCAATCATTGTTACTTTAAGTCTTGCGTTCTATGTTCAATTCTCGCCTTTAATTTATGGAAGTGTTTGGACCAGATCTCAATGTGAAGCTTCCAAGGCTATAAGTGGATGGGACTTCGACTGTAATACATTCCATAAAGATTATCAATCGTATGAGAACATCGCAGGTGAAGTTGCTCAAGGTGCCAATTCAGCTGAACCAGTCAGAGAACATGACTTGAAAGAAGCCAAAGAAACACCAGTGCAGCCAAGAGAAGAGAAAGAAGCTGCAGCTCCTGTAGGCACATCTTCTAGTCAGGCTCCGGAACCTGAAGCTGAAGAGGCTCCAGTGAAGGAGGAACCAGAGTCAGTTGTACCACAATTTGAGCCTGATGATGAAACCAGTCAAGTGAACTCCAAACCGGAAAGCGTTGAAGAAGTTCTTGTTAACGAATCGCAAGAAGTTGCTGAAGAAGCTGCCATAGAAAGCAAGGAAGCAAAGGAAGCAGTAGAACCCAAGGAAGAGCAGTTTGTAGAAGAGACTGTTATTGAAACTGTGATTAACACTAAAACTGAAACTGTTGTGGTTCAACCAAAGGCAGTCAGTGACAGTGACAGTGACAGTGACAGCGACAGCGACAGCGATGATGAGTAAGAAGGTGTTCGGTAGTATATGTTCATAGACGTTTGTAACGAAACAGAGAAGCCTAAAAGAAAAAGGAAAAAAGAAGAAAAATTAACCGTATGCAAGATATAAGTTAAAATCATTACGACTGTAGACTAGTAAAATCCCCACACTAATTACCTTATTTAACACTTAGAAGACTAACATGCTAAATACTCTCTTCTGTATTGCTCTCCATCTCTTTTGGTCGCACTCTCTCGAACGTTCTGTACCTGAGAGATTTTTTTTTTTTTGCTGGGAGTCGCACGACGTAATGTAGAAAATCGTCTACACAGGCAATCAGTAAAATTGCCAATTGAACCATCTTGTACCATACGACTCAAGTAGATCAGGTTGGACTGTTGGATAGTATACTGTATACTTGATATATTGATCTAATTCATTGCTAAGTTTCGTTGAAAAAAGGGGAGCAGAGGAGGAAAAACAGTACCCCAAAAGCAATAAAAACAATCTCTGTGGAAGCACCACTCTAAACTATACGTATACTTAAGCATATAGTTTCACGATCATGTCCGAGAGAACGTGTAGGATTTGCCGTGGTGAGGCAACTCCTAGTCAGCCACTTTTACACCCTTGTAAGTGCCGTGGATCTATTAAATATACACATCAAGACTGTTTGCTTGAATGGTTGAAGCACTCCAATAAATCCACCTCTAAATGTGACATTTGTAACACCCCATATAAATTCATAACCATTTACGATCCAGACATGCCGGATAGAATTCCAGCCAAGTTTATATGGGAGAAGTTCGTGCTGATGGTATCTGGAACGGTGATAAGAGTGATGTCCGTGTTATTGTATACTATATGTATCTTTGTGCAGATACCCATATATTGGAAATTCATTGGGAGGATATATACGTGGGCAATCGACGGACATTTACCTCAGGCGAACCCAAGCTTTTTCGATGCTTTGCTATTTGGAGAGTTTGAATTCACAGAAGCTGTAGCTTCAATGGTAGATCGGGCATACTGGGATATCTTGTATTTTAAGGTATCGAAGTTTTTCGAATATACATATGCCCCAGGGCTTCGGTATGTTTTAATTTGCATTATCAGCCATATCGCATTATTTATTGAACATGAATGGGTTGTCAGAGACGAGGGGTTCAATAAATTGTTGTTGAAAGAAGTAGGTAAAGAACCAAGGGTTAAGTTGATGGAAGTCTTGGAACAAGCCTTAACAGCCATGGAAAACGAACAACAGACTGGAGGGCGCCAAGGAGGTGCAGGTGCAAATAACGAAGTCAATGCTGAAATGATGGCAAGAGCTTTAAGAGACTTAGAGCAAGGCAGACAAAATGGGAACGGAGTCCCAGAGGAGGGATTAAGACGGTTCATTGAAGAACAAAGAGGTGCAAATGCCAATGTCAATGATGCTAATCTAAATTGGAATAGATTTGAGCAACAGAGACCTGAAGTTCGTGAGGGTGAAAATGACCCTCTCCTTCCTAGAGGAGATGAAGTCGCTCAGGACTTTGCTTTTAATTTTGGAGATAATGATCTAGATGCTCTGGACAATGATGACATTGCAGATGATGTTGTTCCTGAAGTGCAACCGCATGCTAGAGCTAGATTTGTACCACATGCTCCGAGAATTAATCTATTTGAAAATGAGGACGATGATGATGATGAAGATGAAGATGATGAAGATGAGAATAATGCAGACATAGATGGAATTGCTGCAGCAGCTGACGCTGAAGCAGATGCTGAAGCTGCCGAAGCTGCTGCAGCTGGGAATGGCGACATCCTTGATATCCTTGGCATAAATCTTAATAATCTTCGTACTCCTATCATGCTCATGATTGTTGGCAATTCGATAATATCAGTATACCTTTTTGTTGCATATCTCATACCACATATGATTGGAAATTTCGTAACTAGTGCATTAGGCTATGTGTTTAGAATTACTGGATCTAAGGTAGTGGGATATATTCCTGAAGTTATCATCTCATTTATTTCTTCAACTGTCCCATCTTATATCGAGTCAATTTGCCAATTTCATCCATTTGTGACTACCTTTACTAGATTCCTATTTACAGGAGTAATTCAACCTATAATTGTAATAATAGATCATTTATTTGATCCACAATTCATGTATCCTGCTGTTATGGAAAGGTCTATTCTTGTGACTATTGGATATTGTGTATTATCACTTGTTATTTATAAGTTAATGAAGAGCATTGCATCGGGAAGTAACAAAAAGCCGGTTATGGGTACTCCTCGAAAGATATATAAATTATTATTCGAAATCTCTTCTACCACTAAAGTGTTCATTGTTTTTGCAATCGAAATCTTTATTTTCCCCGTATATTGTGGATGGTTATTGGATTTTTGCTTGGCACCTGTCTTGCTTGATAGGTTCACTGCTCCAAACGGAGTGGACATTGCATCCATTCTTGCAACTTCGTTATTACATTCAGTGCCATTCCTTGATGATACTGCCTTTGGGAAAATAATGTTATACTGGGTAAGTGGTACATTATACATGTTATTTTTTGCATTATTTGTCGGCATGGTTAGAGATAAAATCTTGCGCCCGGGTGTATTGTTCTTCATAAGATCGCCAGATGATCCAAACGCAAGATTGATTCACGATGCTTTAGTCAAACCATTGTCTCTCCAGTTGTCTAGAATATATTTGAGTGCAAAAGTTTACACAGGATTCATCTTGGTTGGCATAGGTGGAGTAACATGGCTTTTGAGATACTGTTTCCAAGAAGCCAACTATAATGTCGTATTGCCGCTTCAGATACCCTATGACTTCAAGTCATTGGCAATCTACTTTGTTCTTATTGGCCTGTTACACGATAAAGATTTATATATTAGATATTCAAAGTTGTATTGGGGAAAAGTGTTCGAAATATCTACTCATAATTTAAGATTATCTCATTTTATAATAGGAAAGTTGGTTCCACAAGAGAGAGGCTTCATTGCTTATAGGAATGTTTGGGAGCAAATTTTAGGAAGATCATTACCTGATTATTCTAAACCAGTGACATATAGAGACGCTCTAAAGAATTTCCAAGAAGACAAGGATCTCAAGGCATGTTTTGTACCAGATGGTAATTATGTTAGAGTCCCGGACAATGATACAGTGAGCAGAAAGTATATTAAAAAGTTGTTTGTTGCAGTTACTAAAGATGACAAGTTGTTGTCTCAAAAGCAACCACAACTGGAACAAGACCAAGAAGACAACCCTGATGATGATTCCACCGATGATGAAATGACAACAAACAACGCTTATACTATTGTGTATCGTCCCCCAAACTTCAAAATGCGTTGCTTCGGGTTGATAGTGATGTTGTGGGTGTTTGCTGTTCTTTTAATTCTCATTATTGCGTTTACATCTTTGTTATTGGGAAGACCAATCGTTAGAGCTTTCTACATTATAGTAGATGTATTAGGAAGCTCTGCCTCGCAGAATTTTGATTTTAGATTGGCTGACTTAAAAAGTTTGCTAGTCGGATTTAACGTTCAATTGGTATTGTTGAGACTATGGGATAAGGCTCAGAATAATAATGATGGCAATGAGGTATTACGTGATGCTAGAAGAGGAATGGGTGCAGGTGAACAGCAAGATGTTGGCGGAGCTGCTGTTGAAGGAGGGAACATCCCTGGAGTGGGAAGAATAGGCGGATTTCTTAATTTCAATCCTCTTAATTTTGCAGACGCTGCTGGTAACAACAATATTGCAGCTAGAGTAGTTCAATTTATTGCCGTTGCACTGGTACATATTGTAACATTCAGTCTTTGGATGCTTTGGATTGGATCAATCCACAAAATTTGTATTGATTTACCTATCCGTGCATTCATATTCAAAAACGGTGAACCACAGAGCTATATCCAATCTGTCAGATTCACTATTAATCTGTTCAAAAATGAGATTTTAATTTCCAATCTCTCAATTGTTATCCATCTCTTTGTCAGTATGTTTACAGTACTCCCATTCTGCAAGATTCAATTCAAATTCATGAGAGATGTCATTGCGGGAGGTCCACACATAAATGAAGCTTCATACCTTTGGAAAAAGAACATAAAACCAGTTTGCATCAATATTTTATTGACATTTCCTACCATTGTGGCAATTTTATGTGAAATTGTTTGGAAATTTGATGACCAAACTCAGAAATTATACATTCATCCGTACTTATCTTCATTGAACTTACTTGGATTTATTATTTACAGGTTTGTTTCGGGAGTTATGAGATTGTTGAAAAAGATTAACATTAAGGTCAAGAATGAGAAGTATGTTAAGGGGAAGGCTATAGAAAATTTTGGTGATGAAGATTAAACCTGTAAAGTAGATTTTAAAATTAAAACAGTAAATAGGAAATAAATGATTACGCAAGAGCTATACATTGAGACTTTGGTAGGGAGGGATACTTTGTTTGAACTCTACTTCTCATTCTCGTCCTCAGTTACTTATAGGTCGTATGCCACGTACAGTCTGATTATCTGCGCTTTCCTGTATTAGTATGTATATTTGCATTATACGACTTTGATATATAAATTTCATTGTACCTGCCAAACTCAGTCTCAATTGCTATCGTCTCCATCATCTTCATCTTCATCGTCATCATCATGTTCTGCTTCTGCCTCTGCTTCTGCTTCTGCTTCTGCTTCTGCTTTCTTTCTTTTTTTACTATTACCGCTGTTGTACTTCTTCTTTGTGGCGGATACTTCCTTCTCTGGCTTAACATCAGCCTGGGTCATAATGTATTTTTCGTTATACTGTTTCTTAGCCTTCTCGATCCTTTGACTCTGTTTAATAATATACTCCATTCTTGCGAGTTTCAAGGGATCGTTCCTCAAACTAAAAGGGAAATCCTCTATTTTAACTTTATTCCGACCGTGAGCTCTTGCGTACTGTGAAGTATTATGGCACAAGTCAGTTAAAAATTCTATCAATACTTCTTCTAATGCATTAACTGTTGATTCAAGTCCATATGACGAATCACCTAAGGAGTAGAGCAAAAGTTCGATATCTTTCGTGAAAATACGTTGCTTCCGTCTTCTTTTATTGTTTACACTCGGTACATTACTATTATAGGACATTTCTAAGGGATTCGCTGGAAAAGAGCGGTATCAAGACCCCGGAACTCCAGTTTATAACTGCTACTTCATAAAATTTGTATTTAGGTGCAACTCAAATTTGAGCAGCACACGAAAGTGTTGCAGAGTACTCTTTACAGCTTTCACGATGAAGGAAGAAAGTAACACAGCTTGCTCTTCAGGCTTCTCTTCGAAATCGTGATAAGTGGGATAAAGATCTAGAATAAGCCATTTGCTGAGTAAAACGAAGGAACAGCTACAGTTTTTTTGCGTCTTAGATGATATATAGTATTGTCGCTAAATCCAGAAGCTTAAGATTATGTATATTGTGCCCAATTCCCTAGATTTCTATCGTGCATTTATAACATCACTTTATAAACATCATTGAGTTGAACCTATACTAACCTACATACACAGACCACGACAAGATCTCCAACATCTTGCACTAAATTGTATATTACTAAGTACAGGGTTCTTGTTTTACTGCTCATCATGTGGGCGTGTTAGATTATACTGGGCCGGTTCACTTCTATCAACCTTCAATGATTCATTCATCATTCGGATCCTCCAGCATTCGGTATATCTATATATTCTCGTATTCCTAGCAGAATAAGTTAGTCGTATATTCTTTTTGGTTTAGTGTGCCAATTTGACTTCATTATAAATCACACTTTGCATTACGCTTGACGAACAACTCTCAAACTTATCGAACTTCGCTTCTTCCTTGAATATTCTAGCTACTTCGTTGGATAATCCGCTGCAAGTAGATATAGTACAATAGTTAAGCTTTTTAAATTCATTGGCAACATCAACTTGGTGGTTATCCATAAGAGATTCATTTACGACTACAATCAATGGCTTATCGAGCTTTAACACATCGATAATGGAACCTGTTCCTGCATGAGAAACGACAATGTCAACTTGTTCGATATATTCACCACTAATATCAGAAGAGAAAGGGAATGCAAGAATCTGCAATGAGCCCGATTTTGAGTTATAGATCCCGTCGGTATTTTCATATAGTAATCCGGATTTCTTTATGGATGACTCAAAATATATCTGACTTTTGTTGGCAGATTCATTCCCGTATTGAATGAATAGCTTACTTATTCCAGCTTTCGAGATATCTGTTATAAACTCTTTCAGCGTCACTTGATCGATTAGCAGTCTGAACGTCACAGTTGCGCCTGTCAAGATTAAGACCGACATATCTAGGATTGCAAGAAACAATTGTCAACAGTAATTAATGGCTGACTGTGAGCTCGTGCTCATCATCCTAGGATTGTCTAGTAGCTCTTTGCGTTTTTATGATTCCTGGTTTGCATACAGATTGAGGCCTGCATGTTAGACCCCATCTAAGAAAGCGCTAGAGTGAAAAATCGGTCCTAATTGAAATTTGAACTCCGAACAAAAATTTACCCCAGGGTGGCCGGCGCGCTTTGCAATTTTGTGGAGTACGTGAAAAATAAGAAATTTTCACGAAACGAATTCCATCACCAAGAGGAAGAGGAATGTAAACTTGCCGATATCCGGATAATTCGATTGTGAATATGCGCAGAATGTTAACTGAAAATATAGAGCATTACCGGTATCGTATTGTTTTGAGATCTACTGATGAATAGCAAGGGTTCGTGGGCGTGGAGGCTTTTTGCTACATGTGGACGGTGCTCAACAAAATTGAAAGATTATGCACAGGGAAAAACAAATGTAGAAGAATACGAGCCTGAGACGTATGTGGAGGAAAGACAAAGACCAAATATTTTGTGGGTTGTAGGGGTCTTTAAGGAGAATATTAAGTTTCCATCGGGTAAATCAAAGGTTTCGCTCGACCGATACTTCCAAAAACCGGCACCTATCTCCTAAATAAAGGCGTCGCAAAGTCATAGTGTGGGTATTACCAGGCTTTAAGGTTTATTTTCTTCTACTTTATTTTGTCTTTCTTTTTTTTTTTTTTTTTTTTTTGGGTTCTTTCAAGCATCCTCTATGATAGTTGAATCATCCGTCCGGGATTGTAACATGTAGATGCGTTAGTGAATTCTTACTTCCGATAATGCACTTCTGGGCGTGGGCGTGGAGGTAAATAAACATGGCTATTGCAGCGTGCTAAGTGTCTGGTACATGGCTTACATGTTGACGTAAGCAGCGTTTTATCCCAATAAGTTTCTCGTTCACTTTCCACATACCTTAATTTCAAAACAAAAGAATGGTCATTTACTTAGAAAACCGAATACATTTAAGCTTTCGCTCCAGTCACCATCACTTTTTTTCTTTTTTCTTCAATTTCGGTAATAAATCTTTGATTCTCAGCTCACCCCGGAGTGTGATAGCACATATATCGTTTGACTAATGATTACACATTTAAACAAATTCTTGGTCCTGTTTGCTCAGCATCACTCTTATCGTTTTGACAACTATTAATTTTACATTCAATTTGTTACATATCCGCTACATATTTTATTTTCTTTTTTTATTTTCTTTTTCTTTTTTTTTTGTTTTTTCCTACTTTTTATTCTTTTTGCTTACTTTAGTTAAAACATCATTAACAAACAAAATTGAATTTTTTTTCCTTCAAATTTTGTTCATTCAGTGAACTCCGAGACCTTAAAATAGATTTTGAGAACTATAACTTCATAGTTGTTAATAACATAAATTAATTCCACGGCTCGTTATAACCATGGACAAGGACACACCTACTTCAAGTATGTCGACTCCAAATGACGCGTTGACACCTCCGCAAATGACCTCAGCTGAGACACCTCTGTCGGTGTCAACCACGATTGCTCTTATGCCTATCCCCAAGAAATCCCAACAGATTAAAACGGCCAAACCAAGACCCCATATATGTACAGTTTGCACAAGAGCATTTGCCCGGTTGGAGCATTTGAAAAGACATGAACGATCACATACCAATGAGAAGCCGTACCAGTGTGCAGCCTGTGGTAGGTGCTTTGCCAGACGAGACTTGGTGCTCAGACATCAGCAGAAACTCCATGCCAGCTTGCCGTTACACAGAGGTAAAGATGCAGAAAATGAACATATTATAATATTGAATAACAACACCAGCGCAAATGCTCCATTGCCCATAAGAAACGATTTCCACCAGCAGATGGACCTGTTACCAAATCTTCATCACCATCACCTGCACCTGCACCAGTTGTATTCCCCACCGAAGTCAGATCATCTAAATGCCAATATTGGTAGTAATAATCCAGAGCTTTCGAATGCGGCAACAAACTCTATTCCATCTCCGCTCCCTACCAGCTCTTCTCATAATACTCCTCCAGTCGCTGACTCCCCAAGAAAGATGCAACTCCAGAAGCAACAACAGCAAAATCAACAGCACCTTGTTATGAATTCCTACCCCATGCACTTACCTTCTTCTCAACAAGCGCCCAATGCTGGCACTCCTTTGCTGAATAATAATGATAATAGTAACAACAGTTCTGTTGGAGACTTTGTTCCAGCCTTGCCACTTCATTACCACCAACATTTGAATAGACAGTTCCGCCATAATTCGTACTCTGCGCTGTCTGGTAGCTCCTACACTAATATGAAAGAAGCACTTAATATCCAGCAGAATTCCATACCTATCCCTGAAATCCAAGGACAAGTTGAATTTGCTACTCCACAGTTTACAGCTACGGAATTAACTGCGAAGGCATTACCTTCGATGTTGGATTTGGCCAATTTCGGGAACGTAGACTGGAACAATATTGATGCTCTTGATTTAAACGTACCATTCAAGATGAATAGCTTTGTGAATTTGGCGAATTCCGTATCTACACCTTTGGAATTGCCTACCACTACGGCAACTGCTACAGATGCGGCAAAGCCAACAATTTTGATGCAGAAACCGAACAATGCCAACGGAGAAAGTTCAAATCCATATTTTGTTCACCTGTTCCTGAATCCTAATCACCCTCATCACATGAAGGGAACTACGCCGCTTGATTTGAATATGCAACCTCCTAATGACATCTCGGTAATGAATCAAGTATTAGAAAATCAAGCTCTCCCAAAGACGTTTTTTTCAGCGAACCCTCAAGCAAGGAAGAGAGCAAACTTTTCTATTGTGGAAGAAGACGATCAACCTCAATCTAGATCACAATCTCAACCTCATATTCTCTCACATATGCAACAGGAGCAGCAGCAACTACATGACTCGAGGTCTTCTGCTTCGAGCGTAGGTTCAGGCTCAATCGGTACTACTGCGAAAAGATTCAAATCAGACTCCACTGCAACCACTAGCATTGAGAATAGGTTCAATAAGAATAACATAACACACATGAACAATGAGGTATCCGAAGATTGGCTCAATGATATAATTAATACTCCCTATGAATCTATCTTTCCAACTGCCACTCATCATATCGGATTTACGCAATCTCCAAATGATTCACATTCTCCTAATTCTGTTGATGAAATTCCTGGTCTCTTCAGAAAAAGACAAATAGATTTGTTTAATCAAAGACAACCTCATCAAATTCAGTCAACTCCTGGCCAAGTTCATTTAATGAGAAATACTACAGTACCGACAGCAAACTCAACTTCGGATATCTTTCTTTCAACAACTTCCAATATTCCTGGTGCCGGATCAAGCTTCATTAACGAAGAATTGAGAAGTAAAATATTATTTGTAGCAAGCTTATCAAATTTGCAATTTCCTCCTTTGGAAGACCTTAACATGTATATGAAGATCTATGAGGAGGAATTTAATAAGTACTTCCCATTCATTCATATTCCAAGTTTGAAGAAATCAATTACACGCAGCGGAGTTGATGAATCAGAATCTTCCCTCGATAACATACCACTCATATTGAGTATGGCATCGATCGGAGCTTTGTACTCTTTCCATGACTCCAACGCTTTGTCGTTGTTTAATTTATCTAAACTACTTATTCATAAATTTTTCGAAAGAGAGACGAGAATCAAAAACAATAGCGAAGTTGGAGGAGAAAGAAGCTTCAAAGATTTACCAATTGCTGCATTCCAATGTTTAGTATTGCAGATATTTATTTCATTATTTCTCAATGAAGGGAATACTGTTGAAGTTTCAGGTATTCAAATTAGGTCTATGAGTGGTTTGATTGGCTCAAATGGATTTAACAGGGCACTAGAAGAAGTTCTGGACGCACCACAGGAAGTTAGTTCGTTATTCGGAAATACTCCAAATTCAAAGAACTTGAATCAGGATGACACTGGCAAAAATAGCTCCACTTTTGACTATTTTATCTTAGCTCAATCTAGAATTAGAACTTTACACACCTTTTACATGCTTGAAGTTTTTAGAGCAGTGATTATTGGACAAGGTCCAATTCCAATTACAGGAGAAATGCTTACCAATGGTACGTTCTGCAACGATAATACCCTTTGGAAAATACAAGATGAAGAGGAATGGAATGCAAGAGGAGCTCTAGCAGCTTTTGAATCAAAATCTATTGTTTCTCTTTCTAATTCTACATCTATGGATGAGGTTTTAAAAGGATTACACAACCATTACTCCGAAGATACCCTTTCGATGCGTACTGCTTTAACTGTGATAATGTATATTCATGAAAAGATCCATAATGAGTACAACAAAGTTGGAAATGGCAATACTAGTCAGGATCATTTGACATGGAGAATTAACAATAGACCAAATTTAAACTCATTGATAAAGTCTTGGGAATCACTCTATATCAAATCTGGTGGTATTTTGGTTGTGAATTCTCTTAATCAACACATCTTGAGCAAAAAGGATGAAATAAAACTTATTTTACCTATTTATTACTTATCTAAAATTCGTCTCTGCACTAATCTTTCTCCATTGATGCAAACAGTATGGCGCAAAGATTGGGTTGAGATGAACTCAATAATTGATAAGTGTTTTATAGACTTGAGTACTTGCGACTTTGAGGCTTTGAAGGAAGCAACTACTTATTCCGTTGAAATTATTAGTCTTTGGACGCACAATATCTCAATTGCAAATGATCCAAGCAAAACTTCGATTAGAACTCCTGTTTTCTTTGTTAGTTGTCTTTTTGCAGGAATTTTGATTATCTCCTCTTATCTCGAGAAGATTTCGAAAAGAGAATGCTACCATTACTTGACCACGAATGAGAGGGTTTTATGGCTAAAATGTGAATCTACTATGAAAGAAGCTGAGAGAATTATGTCCAATAATGGAAATCTTCCAAAAATTATTGAAAGTGAAGAAGCCAAGAAGATCATGGAAACCCCTTCATCTGACGATAATAGCGACGCTAAGATGAAGATTATCACTGAAGTTTTGCAGAAGGCACATCTTTGTGCAAGTACATTAACATTAGGAATCAGGATGCTTTCTGATGCACCTATTTGGCCAATAGCAATGGGATTAGCAGAAGCATTGAAGAAACGTAGGGATCATATATCAAAATAATTTGAGATGGAGATGAAGAAGGTAGATCCCTAAAATCTCCCGATATAATCGAAAAATAACGAAAAAAAAACTACCTTATCACGAACTTAAAAAGCTAAAATATAATTTTCATACAATTGTATATAATAATGCATTACGACTATTTATTAAAGTATTTCTGGATTCTGTAGCTCTCTGACTTCCATGTCCATATAGTAACTGATTCGAGGTTCAGTCCTAGTCACGTGCTCCAAAACCTCATCTCATCAGAATTTCTTTTGTTTCTTTTGGCAAGAGTATCCACCCTAACTACTTCTTTATTCGGTGCAAATAGATTCATTCTTTCAAAGTGATACTAGGGTTATTAAGGAAACGGTTGTTTGAATACAACTGTATATTGGGAAATAAAAATTTTAAAAATATAAGGAACATGACTTTAGACAGTTCAGATACAATAGTATCTAGTGCCAAACTTACTAATAGAGATCTCTACAACTCTATTGGGCAACCTAAGACTATCGTGGCACCTATGGTTGATCAGTCTGAACTAGCATGGAGGATTTTGTCAAGAAGATATGGTGCTGATCTTTGCTATACTCCAATGTTCCACTCTAGACTTTTCGCTAATGATCTTAAATATAGAAACAATATGTGGTGCAAACTAGATGGAGATGCGAAGCTGGACAGACCGCTTGTAGTACAGTTTTGTGCAAATGATCCTGAACATCTTTTAAATGCTGCAAAATTGGTGGAGAATCAATGTGATGCAGTTGATTTGAACTTGGGGTGCCCCCAAGGTATCGCTAAGAAGGGGAACTACGGTGCGTTCCTCATGGATGATTGGCCGTTGGTGCATAAATTGATTAAGAACTTACATGAAAACTTGAACTGTCCTGTTACTGCCAAGATTAGAGTATATGATGACTGGAATAAATCTTTAGAATACGCCAAGATGGTGCTTGACGCAGGGGCTCAATTTATAACTATACATGGACGTACTCGTGACATGAAGGGTCAAGCTACAGGCTTAGCGAATTGGGAGCTTTTGAGGTTCCTTAGAGATAACCTTCCAAAAGATCAGGTATTCTTTGCCAATGGAAATATATTATATCCTGAAGATATTGAGAGATGTAGCAAAGCAGTAGAATGTGATGCTGTGATGTCTGCAGAGGGTAATTTGTATAACCCTGGGGTATTCTGGACCGCTACGGATGATATAGAGAAGCAATTCTGCAGAGTTGATAAGATGCTCAGAGAATATTTTGAAATTGTCAAAGAAGTGAGCTCTGAGTCACTTGCTTCAAGGCATGCAATGAAGTCACATTTTTTCAAATTGCTTCATGCGTTCTTAAATGTGCATAGAGAACTTAGACCTGACATAGGGAAGCTCAGCGTGCATGCCCCAATGGATGACTGGGAAAAAATAGTAATCAAAGTGGAAGACATTGTTAACGATATATATAAAAAGGACAATATTCTGGACATTGACATCATTACAACAGGTGACATAGAGAGCTGGGGTGGGAGATACAAGACAGTTCCATATTGGAGGTGCCAACCTTACTTCAGAACAGTTAACGGTGAGAAGCAAAACTTGAGAACCTTACATGTGGCAGCCACGGAGAAGAAGCAGGAAACCAAAGAGAATGAGAAGAAGGCTGAGGTTATAGAAAAGGCTGATACCAAAAGGAAGGCTGAAGAGGAATTGGAAAAAGGTTCTAACAAGAAATCTCTCAATTAGCAGGACAGTGAAAAGATTTTTGAGACATTTGGATGGAATCTTTTTGCTTGATGCAATGGCTTTAATCAATAGTTAATCAGGGGAATCAAATTCGCTGTACAAAGTATATTGTCCCAAACTTTACATAGACAACTTTCTTTTAATTTATACATAGAATAGATAACTTCGGCTAATATTTTTCGTCCGTTTCGGATTTAATCGGAAATCAAGTTCACATTTCCGCACTCTGAAATAACTCTTACTTCCTATAGTCATTTACGAGACGTATATTATATAATCGAAATTTGAACTACCACCTTAAATAATAAACAAAAACAGAGATATAAGCAATTTGCCAAAACGAGATGTCTTGGTCCAATTATGCGTGCCTGTATGTAGTGGTACATAACTTGCATTATGTCCGCACTTCCCTCGCACCATCCATCCTTTTTTTCAAATTTAGAGAGTCGGCTCGGATAATGTTTGCTTCCTTTTTTGTTTTCATAGAGTACTGGACTATATTAATCATGTCTTTACCTTCTGCTATAAGAATAACCTCAAAAAGTCCGACTTCCGCCATAATCTTCTTCCATGGTTTGGGAGATACAGGTCAAGGTTGGTCCTGGTTCCCACAACTCGTGAAGGCTTCGAAAATCATTCCTGATGCAGGTGAAGGAATCAACTATGTCTTCCCAAACGCTCCTGAAATCCCAATAACTGTTAACGGCGGCATGAAAATGCCAGCTTGGTTCAATATATACGGCTTTGGAGACCCTAACGCAAAACAAGACACTGAAGGGTACTTAAAATCATGTGAATTAGTTAAAGGATTCATTAAAGAGCAAATGGATACTTACAATATTCCTGCAGATAAAATCATTTTGGGTGGGTTTTCTCAAGGTGCTGCAATTGCTTATGGTGCCTTGGCGACTTTGGACATCAAGATTGGGGGAGTGATTATTTTGTCTGGGTTCATTCCAGTTAAGGCAGAAATTGCAAAGAGGCATTTGTCGACAAATTATGATACTCCAGTTTTCCAGGGTCATGGGACTATGGATAACATCATTGGGTATGCTAAAGGGGTTGAAACCTCAGAATACTTTAAGGCCTTGGGGTTCAAGGCTGTGAAATTTAATAGATATGTAGGTGTTGCACATAGTGCAAGTGACGAAGAGTTGATCGATGCTCAGAACTTTGTTAAGGATATTTTGAAGTAAAGTATATAAGATACTTCCATTGCTAATATAGATATATATACACATATATATTTATTTTTTTATTTACTCTCTTTGCTATTTATAAACTCTCATCCTCTTTCTTAGTGCCCATCAAAAATCGAAACCTGAGTATCACTTTTGATGGCCTGTATATAGTTGAACACCATATTGTAAATATTGATTTTCGAGGCCACATAACTCTAGGCTGGCCAAAAGAACATAGGTTTGAAGGTATATAGATCGAGTCCCCAGAACTTGCTTTGGTTCTTACATATCTGATATCTTTGAGTAATGTCGAAATCTTCAACTCCTCCTGTTGGAGGCAGTTCGTCGTCTCTCAATGGTGCTGCAATCTCTTCAAAAGACAAACGGTACTACCAACAAATTGAAAAGGTGCTAGCATCATTTGATTCGATCGAAGAATGGGCTGACTATATAGCATTCCTTTCCAAACTTCAAAAGACACTACAGTTAAACGAATTGAAATCATCTACACTCCCGTTCAGTCCTCAGATATCCTACAAATTGGCACTTTGCTTGTCTTCTAAATTGCCTAACGGTGTCCATCAGAAGACCTTGAGCATGTATGACTCTCTTTTCACATCACTATCTAATTCTGCATTAGATTCTCAGATCAACGTTTGGCTTCCGGGTTTACTCCCATTGATTTCATATTGTTCCATTCAGATAAAACCATTGATAGTTCAACTCTTCCAGAATCATATAATTGGAAGGTTGTCTCCCAAGACCTTGAAGATGGTCACAAAGCCTTTGATTTTGGCATTCCTTCCTGGCTTAGACGATGAAAACTCAGAAACTTTTTCTGATTTCCTTTCTTTAATGGACAATCTAAAGAAAAAGTCTGGAGACGATAGGCATTTCTGGCAATCATTCTTCCTCTGTATGATCAATAATCCAGAGAGGAGGTTAGGAGGATTGTTCTGGTGCAATAAAAGATTACCAGTATTCACTGGTATTAAGCGTGATGAATCAGAAACTATTACATTTTCTGATGAGGCACAGGCGTGTATTTCTCCTGAACCTGGGTTGCTCATTAGAGCATTTGCCAGTGCCATAACCTCAGCAACATCCATGATAGAAGCAAATGATGTAATTGTGGTAAGAGGGTTCTTCGATTTATTATTAACTCATTTACCCTTGGATAGCGCAGTGATAAGAAATGTAGCTATCAAGAAGGACAAAGAATTGCTTTTGGATGCGTGCTGCTCAGTCACTTTAAAGAAGGATATGAGTTTGAACAGAAGACTTTGGAATTGGTTATTGGGTCCAGAGACAGACTCAAGTGCAGACATTTCTAATGCTACAACAAATTCAAGTACCACTAAAATTGGCACAAGCAAATTAACCCGCTCAGAATATTTCACTGAGTACAGTTTGCCATCGCTTTCCAACATTTTACTTGAAAAAATCAGCAATAACCCCAATCATTCGGTTGATCAATATTTGTCTTCATTTAAAATTTCGTTATCTTTGATTTTAGATAAATGGGAAATAAGCAGAGTAATTACTCCTGTCTTGTTTTTACCTATTATGAGAGCGACATTCCACGAGTATGAATTAAATCAAGATCAACAACTTTTGATTACTGCACAATCATTTTTCGACTCTGTTGAAGCCATTTTTATTTGGAACGACATAACAAGACTCATAATTAAAGGAGAAGAGTTGGACTTAGTAGAGTTTGTTGTCAGCAACTTTGATATTAACGAAGATGAAATGAAGGATATTTACATTCCATTGGCTATTGTCAGTCTAATTGAGAATTTGAATATAACAGGCGATAGGTGGCTAATTATACTTGAAACCTTATTACAAGGAATTCTGTTGGCAGATGCTAACATTGAAGAAGCTGAGACTGAGAAAATAAATTCCTCAGATATCATTTCATTTTATGAAAAACAATTGATAGATTCTGCTACATCTTCACCTTTCTCATCGTCCCAGTTATCATCGTTAATTTTATCAGCACTCAGAAATCTAGTTATTGAAAATTTTGATAACCATGTTCATTCTCATGCATCCAAAATTGTTGAACTATACTGTAAATTAACTAATAAAGAGACTAATGATGTGCTAATTGATAAAATGCTTAGTCAACCTATAACAACAAAACTTAACTCATTAGAAGAATCTAAAGACAACCTTTTAACTGCATATAATGTGGTCAAATTGTTAAAACTTGTCAACACATCAATAACTACCTTGCAAAGAGATAAGATACTAAAAATTATAATGTCTAACCTTTACTACTCATTGATATCTCCTATTCCATCTAATTGTCAAGTAGAAACGGTCAAAACTATTTTCCTTTTAGATAACTACTATCTGAAATTCAAAATAGAAGCTAGCATCTTGAAGCTCTTCATTTCGACTGATTCTTACATAGATAGGGTAAGAGCATTTTCTACTCTATGGAGTCATTCTTCTAATCAATACAATGAAGTAGATTCCATATTATTGAGGCCATTGTTTTTGATTTTAGACGGATTGGCAGGAGGTGAAGTTGGCGGAATTAGGGTTGCAAATTTCGTATCCAGTAATGTATTACAAGGAGGATCATCTAATCGTCTCTTAAAATTAATTACAACTCCTTTATTAGGATTTGATTTTATTGCCAAGGGAGATGGAGAAAACAGTGGAGGACTATTGCAAGAGGGTGACGACTTGGGGCAATTCTCGTACCATATCTCTACTATCGTCAATATTATTGAAACTGATGAAAAGCACTTGAAAGAAAATTTCAATAACGAATTGGTGGTCATGGATAGTGCAAATAAATTGAATGTGATAAGTAATAACTCTTGGGATATATCAACATATAAGACATTGATGGTTAATATAATTGAGAAATTTTTGGGACTAAAAATAAGTAATGAGTTACTACAAAATAGTAACTTAATGATGAAATATTATCAAAGTGTTACAGAGTGTTTAAAATTGTATTCCCTACTTGTCAGTGGGATTGAGAGTGATTTCATATCCAAATTTCATAGTTTGATTGTTAAATGCAGTTATATCATAGACATCAACAGTGGAAATATCTATGTTGAACTTGCTATTGAAAAATACCTTGAGTGTATTTTATTTTTCTTAAAACTATCTGAAACTCAACATGTGAATTTGGATTTGCTTCATATTGATGATGAAGGTAAAACTCCACAATTGATTCGATTCATTACTGAAGGAATCAAAAAGGCTCAAACAGTTGTCTTGCTTGAAAAGTGGACTACGTTCTTGACCAGATCATTATACCTTTTCAATGAATCAGTCTTTCTGGTTTTATTAACTTTAAATGATGTCTTGGTTTACAGGATAGACCAATTTTTTACACAAATAAAAAAATCTACAAGTCAAGTAGATGCTAATAGCGTCAGCTCTTTGAATGATGTCGAAGGCTCAATTAATGTTTTATTTGCGGGCTTGGAAGATTTGCTATCAATTAGTCATAGTTATTTATTGTCCAGTAGTGTGAGAGCCCGTGAGTTGAACGGAGGCTCAGGAGAAAATACAGGTGTGGGGGGCAATGGTTCAGCACCTGGCTTTTTTGGTAATGTTATACAGGGTGTGTTTCTGATTGAAAGTCCTGCTATTCGAACAACTGAAGAAAATAGAAAGTACTCTATTTTGTTGGCATTTCAAGATGCTGTTGCCATCGGCTATAAAATTTGGTTGTGGGCTGAATCTTCAACGAACTTAAGTAGTACCAATTCAGCCGTTTCTTCAACAAATCCTTCTTCTAGTACTAGCATATACCTTTCTAGAAAGCTAAAATTTAAGGCGAGAAAGTTACTTGAATCAGTCATAGAGTTGGAAAGGCAGGAAATTATTGAATGCCTTATTTCTCTCACTGGCTCTTCAAACTCAAAGGCAATCATCAAACTATTGCATGTCTTAGATGGAGGTAGGTCACAAGTAACTTTACCTAATGTCTACAACTCTATTATGTCAAGACTATATGCGGCAGGAGTAGATGAAAAGCTTAGTTCGTCTCTCAACAGTAATGTGTCCGCTAAAGAACTAGCAAGATTTCTACTGCACTATATAGACAGCATCGATGATGATACTATTTCAGATATTTGGGGCTTCACTTTGCAATTTTTCAAGGAAGTAAATTCTCACCCCACAAACTTTACATCAATTTTACCTGATTTGTTGAAGACTGCAACCAGATTAATGTGCAAATTAAGTAATACAAAATTCGGCGAACAGGGTCGAAGCAAGAAGGATTTGAGTGATATCTTCATGAAATTGTTAATGATTTCTGTTAGAGGTGAAGTCAGTGAAAAAGAAAAGGAGAAGCAGAAGGAAACAGAAAATAGTAATGGGGGTGGAATCAGCTCAAGCAATGTCCCAGTTGATCGTGAGGGTACGCCTATTCCACAGGAAAGAGCAATCGCTACTCAATCTGAACTACTTGATACCCTACAGTTGATTCTCACGAAGTTGAATGATATACTTTCAGATTCAGACAAAGTTTCTTCATGCATTAATACAATTCTCGTCAACTTAGTATCACCACAAATCAAAAATAAGAAAATTCATGAGATTCCAAATCAAACTATTGGTTTGATCGCGTTGATTGGAAATAATTTCCCCAATAAGGCTTGGAAAGCAGCTGTTCTGGATTGTTTCATGGATAATAGCTTCTTTTCCATGACTCGATCATCTATTCAACTATGGGAACTGATAATACAGATTTGGATTGCAAATGATAGAGATCGAATCGTTGAGTTAATTTCTAAAATAGCTCCAATTTCTACATCTACAGCTGCAAATATTTTCAATTGGAACGAGAGTTCCGAAATTGAAAACAAAATTTTCAATTTGAAAAGGATAATTTACTTCATTTTAATTCAGCCTAAAGATTATTTCTTAAATAATCTAGAAGAATTGATAAACAGAGTAGAATTGACGTCTCCAATTATGGGAGGATATGGTGGAGGCGATGCTATATGTCCACCGCTGTATAAAAGTGAAGTATTGCTTTTGCTTAGGGTTATTACTTTGAAATTTAATGACTTGCACTTATTATCTCATTGGACTATGATTTCTTGTGAAATTTTGTCAAATTTTAATGAACTAGTTGTACAGAAAAATGCAAAAGAATTGATGCATTTGACACCACAAGAATTGAAAGTAGTGTTGTTCAACAGTAAATTGTTAGATCAATTATTAATTTTGAAGTACGATGAATTCAATTTGAATGAATGGTTGTATGTGACATCGAGCCCTGAAGTTGTTACTGATTCTACGATTGCACATGATTCAGTTTCTAATGGACGAGAAAAAGGTAATGATTCGATTTTATCTGTTATTGATAGGATTTCTAGAGAAAAGGACTTTTCTTCTTCTAAGGAATCTGCTATCAAAGTATATTCGATTGTTGATGAACAAGATGGCGAATACACCAAGCCATTATTAGAAGGAATAAAGCGTATTGAATCTATTTCTAGCTTGAGGTTGTTTTTCGATTCTTTGAGTCTCTTGCATTACGAAAGAACCTACGGATTGAAAAAAGTTGACTACAAAATTTGCGAAGAAGACATATTAAACGATGTCGTCGGTAAGGAATGATCTAAATAGATGTAATATTTGCTTTTTTTTCACGCTAAATATACGATTTTACTAGCATGGCAATTGATAAACTCAAAACCTTTAGTCTTTGGTTTCTATTTTCTAAGTTCAGCCATCTGAGAATTCAAATAAGTATCGATTTGAAACAACTAATGAATTTTCAAAATGTGTAAGTCTTCAGAAACACAGCAATGTTCACGAAATAGGTTTAAGGTGGTTTTCTATTAACTGGAATTAATCTGACATTACCTTGAATATTCTACTAATCTAATCCATTTTAGACAGAATACCAAATAATTTACAACGAGGTGCTGTTGGACATAAGGATTTATCAAGCTCATTTCGTAATATTGAAATAGGTCCCTTGGCCCAGTTGGTTAAGGCGCGGTGCTAATAACGCCGAGATCAGCAGTTCGATCCTGCTAGGGACCATTTATGTGACAAATCTCAGGGCGTGTGGCGTAGTTGGTAGCGCGTTCGCTTAGCATGCGAAAGGTCTCCGGTTCGACTCCGGACTCGTCCATTTTTTTTCTACCCACTGAGATGATCAATTCAGCTCTTTGTGATGAAACGCGTTTGGCGCATTCTAGATGAATGTACGTCACATTGAAGAATATATTGAAGAACATAAGTGATATTGTCATTGTAGAAGGAGAAAATATGTCGTCCCATTTAAAATCATTTGAAGCTGATGATTCTTTTACTCGATCTTCGGCCAAAAGAGTGAAAGAAAGAATGTTTAGCGATGAAGATGATAGTGATAATGATCTAGATTTTGATGATACAAACTTAGAAACTCCAAGAGGGTTCAAACCACTGAGGGACCCCACTACTAATAGTAATGACAGCTCGTTTGTTCCTAAAGGACAGTATAAAACTCAGAGTAGAACTGTTAAGGTGCCACTTAAAGATGATAGTAATGCTATAGCGCAAAAAAGATCTGCTTCCACACCGATATCTAAATATAGATCGAGAAATGGAACTCCTCTTAGGCAGCCTCCAATTACCAGTAAAGCGCATGAGCTTGATGAAGAAGAGCATGAAGAAGCTACTATTATTAAAAACGGTAAGCTTATTTCAGACGAGAATAGGTACTCACCAAATTTAAGCAAACTTAAATCACCTAGAAAATCTCCAATACGAAATGTTAACGTACCAAGCAATGTAATTTCTCCTCCTCCGAACTTCAAGTTAACTCCTGTGGATTTTCTGTTTCTTTCACGGTCAAATGGGAAGAATTCAAATGGAAAAGGCGATGATTCACCCCAAACCAATGGAAAGGATATTGAATTCGACCCATCTGATGATGATGAAGTTGACAAAGTAGAAGAACAGGTTGAGCGTGTTGAAGTAGAGAATATTCAAACGCATGATAAATCTAATGGCAGCCCTATTGATAGAAGCAAGAAGTTCAAGGTTCAACCAAAATTTACTTTAGAACTGAATCTGATGCTAGAAACTCCTCAACAGCCTTCCAATATTCCATCTTCTTCGCCTTCTCCAGATCCCAATGACGTCTCGAGGGCGGACATTTTGGAAAGAATAAATTCTACTATACAATCAATTAAAGAGAGAGAGTTGAAAGAGTTGAAATCTAGCTCTCCTATAAAACGATCCTCTTTACTCGGAAGAGGTTCTCCTCAAGCTCCGTATTCAAATCGCCATCTGCAACCAATAGGATCTAACGAGGATTTTAACTTTAATGGGAGAGATGATATAAGAGAAGTTGAAGAATTGATTGCATTAGATGATGATACGGATGACAATGATAATATTCTTCAAGAAATAGATTCGTATTTACCTACATCGCCAGCTCAAATGTCAACGAATACTCGTAATACATTACTGGTCAGTAACATGGAAACAGATAGCCCAAAACTTAGCAAGTTTCCAGGTGGCTATGAAAGGAGTATGCTTGCAGAGAATTTAATTATCCGCCCTGAAACAGATACAACACCTTTCTCAACCACAACAGGTTCTACCACCTCTGCCAGAACATCCAAAGACGAGTGGTCTACTGCAAAATGGTTGAAGTTGAGAAAGATATTGGCTTTGAAAAAATTGACTCTGTTTGAGATAATTAACAGCTCTATAATTCAAGAATCTCTTGCAGTATCAAAGAAAGACTTGGCGAATAGAGTACATTTCCTCATGGAATTAGACAGGCATAAAGAATTGGCAAGGGAAAGAAAATTGAAAAAAGTGGGAAGAAGAACTAACGCTAAATCGGGTAACATCAAAGTTCAACCTAAGAACCTCACCTCAAGAAGAAAGAAACTTTTATAAAAAAGTAATGCTAATGTACTATAGATTGTAAAAATAGACTGTATAATAATTAAATGTATAAATATATATTAAAAGTCAATGCTAAAACACCTTAGAGAGAACGTCATTTAACTTTTGGTTGGGCCTTGATTTCTCCTTCAAGTTCTCATCTGCATCTGCCCTTGTACTGTTGAGTTTTCTCTGTTTAAAATTTCTCCTTATTTCGATTGGCTTGTCTTCATCTTTATTATCTGACTTTGACAGGACCTGCTCTTCCTTAGACTTCCTCTTTTTCTGTATATTTTGAATCATCTTTGACTTTTCTACATTTGCAATAAAATTCTTGTTAAGTTTCTGTTGTTGAGAAATCTCCATAGATAATTTTGATTGTCTCATTTCATTTTCCTTAGCAATCTGTTGAGTCAAATCCATCCATTTGAATCCTGATAAGTATTTGATGTTCATGACATCGTCATAATAGTAAGATGTCTTCTTTCCCCCAATGATTTGGCCATTCAAACTTGCCTCGCAAAGTTTGGCATCCTTTTTACTCACAAACTCCACCCAACCTTCAGTGAAGTTCTTTTTCTTGTTACCACCGTATTTTACTCTTTTCTGATATATTTTTGTATCTTCTGGCTTTAAGAAGAGACGATCTATTTCACCAAACCTTGAGAGAATTGTTCTTAATTTAGCTGGCTTCATATAGGGAGGGACTCTCGAAATATAGCAGACACCTGTCTTCTTGATTCTTTTTTGTTCCTTCATAAGCTGCTCTGGTGTGAGATTCTTCAACTTACCCAATTTCTTAGAAGCTTTCGATTCCTTTTGAGATTTTCCAAGAATCTCCTCGTTATCCGCTATTTCTTCTTCATGTTCTTCTTGGTCTTCCTCTTCATCTTCAAAACCTTCCACTTCTGTGTTTATACCGAGTATCAAGTGGTCATCGTCAAGTTCTTCCTCATCTATTTCAGGACCGTCCTCTTCTTCGAAGTCATCGCTGGATTCGTCATGGTCAGCAAGGTCTCTTATTTTGGTCTTGATTCTTGCGTGTACCTTCGTTTCTATTTCATCGTCGGAAGATTGAAAATCTTCTTCATCAGAATAAGATGCTTGCATTAACTTATTGACCTTGCTTTCTTTTGCCATTTCTTTAAAGTAGGGACTTTCAAGTGCACACAGCTAGCGCTAACTCTTTAAATCTATCTTAGAACCTCATCGCGCTAACAAATTCATATTGAATAATATGCAGGACATTCTACTCTGCAGATATTTTTTCTTTATGCATTTACACTGTATATAGGCGCACTTACTTCGAGTGTGTCTGAGTTGTGGAGAAAGGGATTAGCCGAGCCACACGGGAATCTGATGATTTCAGAAATGTATCATTGCATCACTACAATTCTCACAGTAGCAGGACTAGCCCCAAGATCTCTTACATGGTATCTTAAGATAAATTATTCTATCGCATTAGCTATATATAGTTGACATTATTTAAATACTAAATATATTGTTTACTTCTTAGCATCTTCAGATGCAGTCTTAGCACCTTCGGTAGCACCAGTGACAACACCAGAGACGTAGTTAGCTGCCTTTGTAACTTCTTCCTTAGCGGTTTCAAGGTATTCGGAAGCAGTTTCAGCGAGGGTTTGTTGGTCCTTGTTGACAGCAGTCTTAGCATCATCGTGGCCAGATTGGATATTGTCAGAAACAGATTGAGTGAAAGACTTCTGGTTATCTGGAGTGATGGAGGAAGCAACCTTGTCAGCAGCTCCAGTAGCTGCTTCAGAAGCCTTCTCGAAGGTAGTCTTTTCTGAATCTGGGGTGATCTTTTCAGCAACCTTGTCGGATACGTTCTTTCTTCCTAAGTCAGACATTATTAAATTATTATTGTTTGTATGTTTTTAAGTAAATACTTTGAGGAAAAAGTGAAAGTTTATTCGAAACTTGGATGGCAATTTCATCTCTATTTATACTTCAGTGATTTTGGAACCGAATTCCGTAAATGGTAGAATGTAGCAATTAAAATTTAAAGAAGTCACCATTACACCGTCACTATTGGCAATGATAAACTGAAAAGTTAAAAATTGCTGCGAATCGTGCATATACTCTGAGGCGCTGCTACAAAATTATTAAACAAGACATATGAATACTCTTTGATAGAACCAGTTCTTCAATGGCATTAAAAATCTAATGAATATTTAAGGTTTGCATAATAAGCGTTGGTTCCTGAAATAGATGAATAGGCACATCTTCATAGACCTAATAAAGTCTTTGAGAGCTCATAATCTTGTTGGTTCAACAGCCCTTGGGCGGTAGCAAACTACAAGTAGATATGTCCCATTTTTTTACGTGCAGGATGGATAGCAACCTTAAAATGCGAAGTAAATATTGGTGTACGGATTAGAACTTTATTTCCACAATTGTCAACTCCACAACCATGTGGGGTGAAGCTTCGACTAAGGGCCGGCAAAAAGTTGACCTTCCGTCTAGTCTGAGACTCTATGTCAATATTGATAGAATGTCATAGAATTGTAAAGAAAAAATGGTACTTAGAGATTTCGGTACTATTAGAATTAACATAACTAAATAGGATATGCTCCGATTATTGCAAAATGGAAAATAAATTCAAGTGTGCAACAATTCTATCTATTGTCAATTTTAATCATCTTATCAATTATAGATAGTTATAGTCCCCAGCGAATGCTGGTATATTTTAATCAATGTTGTTCTTATAATCTATAGAAGTATTAAGACATCTCAAATTATGCTCTAGATGGCTTCTCAGGATAGGTAAGACTATAACTTTGAAGCCTCAACTTCATCTCAATTGTTCACGTGACTAAATATCTGGGACTTTACAAGTAGGTCCATTTTCGGAGATCTGCTTCTCTTGTAAGGAAAAGAAAATATTTCAGACTCACCAAAGACATTTCATCTCATCCCAATTCCTGTATATAACAAAATATCAGTCTCTGTTGAAGCATGCTTCTAAAGTAAAGGTAGAGTCATCTCAACCTCTGAAGATTCATTCAAAGACTACACGTTGTAATTGGTAATGTCTAAGAAGTCACTTTCTCAATCTTTAGATCAGAAGATCTATGATCTTGTTCATAATCTTCTTGATGAGCAAACAAAAGAGAAGCAGAAAGTCTTTGCAGATGGTGAAGATTTGGATCCATTTGCACATCTAGCATTGGCTAAAGATTTGAAAACCTCACAAGTCCTCGAATACGTTCAAAGAAAAGACTTCAAGCTCAAGAGGATGAAAAGAGTTACGTTAGAGAAGGCAATAGAAGCAGTACTACAAGTCTGTAAAGATGACGAGAAGGAAGAATTTGGTGATATTCTTGGTAATGTGGACGGCAAAGACGATGATGTGAATATAAAAGACGCCGCGAAAATAGATAGTGATCTCGAGGTAGAAGATGAACAGAACTTAATGGAAGTCAAAGATACCAACAGTTTGAATAAATCAGTTGTTTCGCTTTGGAATATGAACAATAAGGAGGACAAAGAAGAGACTGAGACCGAGGAAGTGAATGGAACCGGAGCAAGTTCAACAAAGAAAAGAAATAAAGAATCAACCAAGCAGGTTATCAAAAGGCCCAAGAATAAAATAGATCATACTCCCCCAGCGGCCAGTCTATCATCATTGGGTGGTCTTACCAGCATAGCAACTCGCCTCAAGGAACTCATTTTCTTGCCAATACAACATCCTGAAATCTTTTCATCTTTGGGAGTGGAGCCTTCAAGAGGGGTATTATTGTATGGTCCTCCGGGTTGTGGTAAGACAACTATTGCAAATGCAGTTGCCGGTGAATTACAAGTTCCATTTTTCAACATTTCTGCCCCTTCCATTGTTTCTGGTATGTCAGGTGAATCTGAAAAGAAATTGAGAGATATATTCGAAGAAGCCAAATCAATGGCTCCTTGCATAATATTTATGGATGAGATTGACGCAATTACCCCCAAGAGAGATGGTGGGGCACAAAGAGAAATGGAGAGAAGAATTGTTGCTCAATTGTTAACCCTTATGGATGATATTACCTTAGAGAAAACGGGAGGTAAACCTGTTATTGTCATCGGTGCCACCAATAGACCCGATTCCTTAGATACTGCTTTGAGACGTGCTGGTAGATTTGATGCTGAAATTTGCCTTAACGTTCCAGATGAAGATCAAAGGTGTTCTATTCTTCAGGCTATGACGGAAAATTTAAAGATTGATAGAGGTGAAAGTGATAGTTTTAATTTTAGGGAATTGGCAAAATTGACTCCGGGCTTTGTAGGAGCAGATTTAAAGAGTTTAGTCACGGCAGCAGGAACGGCTGCTATTAAAAGAATCTTTGAGACTTTGAGTGAACTTGAAGAAGAAGGTGAGCCAGCATCTGCATTAGTGTTAAATCCAAGCTCAGTAGATGACGGCATGGATATAGATAGTAATGTGGCAATTTTAAATTCTGCAGTTTCCACATTCCAACAAAAGTCCGAGGTTGAGAAGCTTTCCACTATTGAAAAGTTTTTAGCTAAGCATACTAACCCGTTAACTAATGATCAATTGGGACCATTGTCAATCGTTTATGATGATTTTATAACTGCATTGCCATCTATTCAACCAACAGCAAAGAGAGAAGGATTTGCAACTGTACCGGATGTTTCCTGGGCCAATGTTGGTGCTTTACATCACATCAGAATGGAATTACACATGTGCATAGTTCAGCCTATTAAAAAACCAGAACTCTACGAAAAAGTTGGAATTACAGCACCTGCGGGAGTTCTCATGTGGGGTCCGCCAGGTTGTGGTAAGACTCTTTTAGCTAAGGCTGTTGCTAATGAATCAAGGGCTAATTTCATATCTGTTAAAGGTCCGGAATTGTTGAATAAGTACGTAGGTGAGTCAGAGAGAGCAGTCAGGCAAGTATTCCAAAGAGCCAGAGCGTCAGTTCCATGTATTATATTCTTTGATGAATTGGATGCTTTAGTACCCAGAAGAGATACTTCATTGTCTGAATCTTCATCGCGTGTTGTCAACACTTTGTTAACAGAATTGGATGGATTAAATGACAGAAAAGGTATATTTGTAATTGGTGCAACAAATAGGCCAGATATGATAGATCCTGCGATGCTTAGACCAGGAAGACTTGACAAGACTCTCTACATAGAACTTCCAACTGAGCTGGAAAGATTTGAAATTTTGAAGACCTTAATTAAGTCTACCCCAGTGGACAAATATGTCGACCTTCAACAAATTGCAAAGGATGAGAAATGCCGTAACTTTTCAGGTGCTGATTTGTCTTCCTTGGTTCGTGAAGCTAGTGTTAGTGCATTGAAAAAGAAGTTCTTCAGGGGCCAAAAAATTAGTGAATTAGATGCATCTGGGTTCTATTCTGACTCCGACAAAGTTAAAGATGATATCGAAGATTCTGTGTTGGTAACTATGGACGACTTTAGATCTGCGCTTGGAAGCATTCATCCAAGTGTGACTGATAGAGATAGACAAAAGTACGAGAAACTTAACAAGAGAATGGGTTGGACTATTATCCAACAGGAAGTTGATGACGAGACTAAAAAGGAACAAGAGGCTACATAGAGAATGTCCATTTAATATAGAGATTAGACGTTCATATAACACTTCACATTATGTAATGTTATAAATAATTATGTAGAAAAACCAAAGTGTATATTAATTTTACTAATATATTTAGCAAAGTAAACGTTGCATCAAGGTGTAAATAAATACTAGCAATCAGGATTGGATATGAAAAGACAGCAAAGCTGTAAGTAGAATGGACTCTATACTTTTATTGAGCTGAAGCAGAAAAGCAAGCAAATGTCAGTATGTCAAACGGTCGAAGTTAAATGTTGCCATTGAGTGGTAATACACAGGTAGCACTATGTCAAGAAACATTATGTTTCTAGCTTATTTTTGCTTCCTCGATGAAGTATCTTTTGCTCCAATTGCTCTAATGATATTGGTCGATGAAATTGGGCCCAAGTATTGACTGAGAAGTCCTTTAAACTGGATCTGATAAGCATCTTTAATAGATTGAGGAATCATAGATGCCTGTGGACTGTGTAAAAGTTGACTGATTTTAAGGTCCCAAGAGCTGACCACATGTTGAGTATACTTATTTTGGTCATATCTCAACTTGATAAAGGTAACTACCACTCCAAAGACGATAACATTAAGAATTGCATTGATTGGAGATCTTAACAAATTTATTGGTGTCATTGGGATCGTGAACACAAAGCTAGTTAACAATAACAATTCAGATTGCGATGCAATCATCAAAGCTGTTTCATTGTATGATGAAGTAAAATTATTGATCTTGGAGTTCAATGCTTGTTGACTAGAAAGGCTAATAGGCAAAGAAGATAAGATGTTATTTTGAAAGTACGTCAATGAATGAAATAACGAGAATATTGTGAATGAATAAATCGAACCCGACAAAGCACCTAATCTACTGCTTGTCAAAAAGAATACCAAGGCTAAGACGAAGTAATGGAAGTTTTCATCCTTAATCAAATTTGCTCTCAAGTTTGGTGCCTTCAATGACGCGAACGTTTTGAAGTGAACTTGACGCAAAACAATAGTATAAGTAAATAAAACTGATAATAATGTAATCTTGTAATAGAACAAAGTCTTTGAAAAGAACGAAGTGATATTATGCAAGAAAAAAGCAACGAGAACAAACACATGGCCCAAGAACCAATAGAACTGCTGAGTCTTGACTAAGGCAACCATAGTCAGGCCAAAAGTATCAGGCTTGAATTTTCCTTCAGCTTTAGTAGTAGTAGCAGCTTTTGGAGGCATATTCTCTACTATCTGTGTAATAATTTAGGTTAGGTGTCAAGAACTTTCTAACTTGTTCGGAGTTCTTCCTTTGAAAAATCACTTCTGAGGCAAATCCTTCCACTCACATCCACACTTCCAGCTAGATCCATATACAGGAGATAGCAAAGATAAGGCTCAAATCATTGCGAAGAGTGCAACCATGCAGAATCGTTTGATTTTTCACATAGAGTCAGTTTACCCTGGTAAATTATTGCGAATAAAGGGATATGTTTATAGCAAGAGAGTTGGAACATTCTCAGAGAGAGACAAAATTATAGAGTCCATGAATTATTTAGAAAAGGAATTGGAACTGAGAATAGCGAGTACTTAATTAAAATAAAATTTCAGGTGAAACAGCAATACAATTATTATAGCCCACATATCAAGAAAACAAGAAAAAATAGCTATTTTCTTCATATTGATAGCATATTATAGCATAATAATTCTTGGTATTTTTCATTAAGGTATTGTTTTTGTATGTTCCTGCATATATACTGTAAAATGCAACCGTATAAAATAGCAAAGCAATGACGTGGGTGTATCAACAATCTTATATGAAATTGAATTTGTTTGGTATTTAGCCTTTTCTTTTCTTAGTTATATTATTATCAATCTACCACACTAACATGTTCTTTTTAGTTGGATGTAAGTATGAAAATGAGAATATAAGAAACAGAAATCGGGAGAGTAATTATAATCTACTTTCACAATTTGTGGAGAAGCTTTTTTTACAACTCTGAGATTATGTAATACATGGAGTTTCTATGAGGTCACTTTCATGACTGATCTAACACCAAGCTGAAATTATTACAGGTTAACAATGGCTGAAAGCCAATTACTGAGATCAGTTCATATTTCTTTTTCCAATTCAATACTTTCATTCCCGGATGGGTTTCTAGCTTCCGGATCTTACCTTCCATGACACTAACAAACTCCAGTTAAAGAGTTCAATAAGCCCCTCAGCAATGTCGGAAATGTAACTTGCTATTGTGGAAACTGTCATAATCAGTCTGCTCATGCAATTAGAACTATCAATTGTGTAACATTATTCTTGATACCTATCTTACCATTTTACTTCTCAAAGAGATTGAAGTGCTCTATATGCGGAGCATCTGCGGATTTGAATCCAAGTACGATAGACCGAATGAAGAAGGGCCAGCCTGCTGCAATTGGCTAAAATAGAATACTATGTACTTTGCTATTAATACAAGAAAGAAGAACGGAATGACTGTAGTATAATGTTACCCGAGGTGGGTCCGGTAGGTTCCAGGAATCTGGATGTAAGGAGTTGAAGTTATCGGTTTGCGTGATTTTGGATCAATATACAACGCAAAAATGTGTGATCTTCGAAAATAAACGCAAGTTTTGCATAAAATTTTAAGTTTCATCGTACCGTACAGCTCAGGGTTGTCGCAGATTTGTTAAAGTTGCATAATTGCAGCTAGTCAAATATTAGTGCGAAAAACCATGGAACTTAAATTTACCCTTTCTTCGATGTTCTTTCAATACTCCGCCAATACCGATCACGCAGCATACCTGCTCACCCCGGTGGTACTGAATATGTGGTGGTGCAGTGGTGCCACACTCAAGATTATCCATGTGAAAGAATTTAACTCTACCATAGAAGAAGGACTTCAATTACATATAGAATTACTAATGCTTTCTCCGAATCAGCCGTTCAAACTAAAATGACCTGAAACACATTAAACTTTTCTTGCTCCATCCATTCCGCAAGAGACTGAATTACATGGAAATTAGGTAGAATCAAGTTTTAATATCGAATCAGACTTGCAGGTTGGTGGTCATTAGCATGATAAGAAATTGGAAGGAGAAATATCTTGTAGAGGTATAAATTTGCAGCTGCTTGGCTGCAAATTGATCATTCTTCTTCCTATTTTCAGAATTAAAACTATTCTATTAAACTACAAGCAATATATAATAAGATGGCTTTTGTTGAAATTTTCGGCCGTGCAGGTAATGAGGTACTTGAGATTAACCCCACATCAAGTTATATTGATATCCATTTAACGAATCATGGATCTAGTTGGCTTTGGGCTGCATTCTCTGTGTTTTCTCTCCTTACTTTAATTCATGCTGCAATTTTTGGTTTCAGCAATTCAAGGAATCAAACAATTAAAAAGGCAATCTTTGTTGGTCCTTTATTTACAAACTTCGTTATGGCAATTGCCTACTTTACGTATGCATCCAACTTAGGGTACACTGGTATCAAGACTGAATTTCATCATGTCACAACTTCGGAAGGTCTCGGTTACAGACAAATTTTCTATGTAAAGTACATCGGATACTTTTTATCATGGCCATTTGTTTTGTATGCCATTGAAGTTGCAACCCACACTTTAGATCTTTCTTCGAAGACAAGTGCTGGTGAAACCTTTTCAGGATTCATTGGTATAATTTCAAGTTTGTTTACTAAGTTTTTAGCAACCGAAGTATTCGTGTTAGGTTTATTAATTGGTTCTTTGATTGAATCTACTTATAAATGGGGATACTTCACATTTGCTGTTTTTGGTCAACTCTATGCATTGACATTGATTATTGTTTCAGTATCCAAGAATCTTCGTTCGATTAATTCTAATAGGATTGGTACAATTTTGATTTCTTTTGAATTGGTCGTTTGGATCCTTTATCCAATTGCTTGGGGTTTGAGTGAAGGTGGTAACGTTATCCAACCTGATTCCGAGGCTGCTTTCTTTGGTGTCCTTGATTTGATCACATTTGCTATTGTTCCAACTGTTTTGACATTTTTAAATGCGTCAGGTTTAGATGAGAATGTTTTCTTAAAGTTCAACTGGAACAATCATCACTCTACCAATGAGAAGATTATAGAATCCCCAAGAGCAAGTGGTGATACTGCTGTTCCACAGACATCAGTAGCAGAAACAGGAGCTAATAATGTTCAGGCTGAAACAGTTTAAAACTATTTGCGATTAATTTGATAATGTTTATGTATTCAACTTCTTCAGCAAGAATTGGTTCCCTTCAACTAATAGGAATTAAAATTCTGACGAGATCCAATTCTTGCTTCTTATTTCATTTTTCTACAACTTAGGTTTTTGTTGATAATGTATCTTTAATAATTGATAATTAATAATTTCTATAATGTGTTAAAATTGTAAATTTACTTATAAAAGATATCACTGAATTTTGCACTGATCACCTACAACTCTAACAATAATATCCTTACTGGTATGGATCAAAAATTTATAAGCTTCATTGTAGTGAAGCCAACAGAAACAATGATAACGTAAGCAATAATGGAACTAGGAACCCCTCTAGTAATAAACGTACTTACAGTCAAGTAAGGCTTTCCAAAGTCATCAGTCATGCAAATGGCGGTGACATTGGGGAATCCAGACGTTGGCAATCCCATAGCAGCTGAACACAATAATGCGCTTATCATAATAAGCAAGTTTGGGTGTGGTTCTGGCATGTCATTACCGATTTCGCTAACCAATGGGATGACAATTAAAGCAGCAACAGTGTGACTAACAAAAGTAGCCATTGTCAATATAAGTAATCCAAAAGTTAAAGTGACTCCAAATAAAGACAAATCAGCAACTTGGTGTTGAATAATTTTAGCTATTGTTGTTAATAACCCAGATGATGCAACGGCTTTTCCTAAGGCAGTACCTCCCATGGCTAATACAACGATATTCCATGGATAGTTATTGAAATCTTCAGTAGTCAACAAGCCAGAACCAAAAAATAAAACTATTGGTAAAAGAGCAATGATACCCATTTCTCCAAATGTCCCTTCCAATCTTGACGCTATACACCAAAGGAAAATGGTACCGATACTCACACCACTAATATACCATTGAACACTAGTGAATCTATCATCCATTACTCTTATTGGAACTAGGTGCGTATTCTTTGAATTACAGTTGAAAGTAGTTAACAAGAAAATCCAAATCAAAATGAGAGTTAATAGACAGACAGGAAGTGCAATGACAAACCATTGACCCCAAGATGGAGCTGGACTCATTGCGCCTATTGCTACAATGTTTTGTGGTGAAGCTATGGGCAGCGCCATTCCTCCAACATTAGACGCCAACGCAATCCCCAAGATCAAGGCGTTAGCAAATTGTGAGTCTCTTGGCAAAGTTCTCAATAGTGGTTGAATCAATGAAAAACATAACACAGGTGCAGCAACATTGGAAACCCACATAGAAGCAAACAATGCAACACCCATAATAGTTAATAACACAACCGAAGGATTGGTACCAGCTTTGGACAAAATCCAGGTCGAAATTAATTTTGCAATATGGTATTTAGATAATGCAGCAGCTAATGTAAAACCACCTAATAAAAGTAAAATGACTGAGTTCCACATAGTTGATAAGATGTATTTAGAAGAGTCCGGAGCACTCATAGGAGAGCCATCATCATTCTTCAATATGTTGCAACTGACAATAATAACTGGAATTAAGAGTGAAGTGACAAACAATGGAATAGTTTCAGTGGCCCAAAGCAAAGAAGCCACAATTAAAAGAGCAAAACAATGTTCCTGTTGCTTATCTTCAAATATCGATATGTTGAACAATATCAAGAAAGTAGCAAAAATCACCAATCCTTTGATAATTGAGGGATTCTTTAAAGTGAAATTCAAAGAGGTTGCCAGCTTTCCAGAGTTCTTTTCATTGCCTGCTTCTCCATCACCTCTTGCGTTTCTTTTACCTGCCAATCCTGAAGAGTTCGCACCGTACGTTTTTCTTTCTAAACCAATCATATCTCTCCAAACTGTATTTCTTTCCCAAACAACATGTTCTCTTAGATGAATCGAAAGTTCCTGCTTTGCAATTTCTAAGCCCTCCTCTCCTTGGTGATTACAAATTAAGGCATAAAGTTGAGTTAAAGAGTTAATATTGTCTTTCACCTTTTCTATAGTGGTTGGCCTGAAAATGTAGGATTTTTCTGACAACAGATTCAAATACTCATCTTTAATGTTTGTGTTCAAAGATTTATCAAATTTTTTACAAGCTTTTTTGAAGCCAGTTTGATTCAATTCAATATAAGATTCCAATTCGGATAAGGTGGTGTATAATCCAATGACTCTTTTCCTCAATAAGACTCTGCTTTCAGATAATAAAAGTAACTGAGGAGGTAAATTGTCGACATTCTCCCATACGGCTGCTACTCTTGGAGATTTGAGGTAATTGTCAATGGATTTTGTATGCTTAAGATCAGCTGCCGTCAGTCCTTGAACTCTCTGCAAGGCAGCAGAACTACTACCCAAGGCATCCTCATCATCATCTTCTTCATCGTCTTCATTTTGAGTTTCAAAGTCAGTTTGGGTACGGTAGTTATCGGAAGTATCAGAATTTGCACGAATACGATTTTTACCCACTTCCTTAGACGGTACGTTGGTGAGACTAAATCCATCTAAATTATTATTCTCGACACTGTTATGTAAATCATTTTCGAAAGTTTCTATATCAACAACTAATTCTTCGATGTTTCCAAAGATGAATAATTCCTGAGCTTTATAGAAATTATCAATTTTCCTTAATTCAGCGTCAAGGGCAGCAACAAACACAACAGCAGGATCGTTCTGCTGTCTCGTATTGACCTGATCACTTTGAGTGTACAACAATGAGGATTCCACATCATCTTCTCGCTGACTCCTTAACTGATCCCTTTGAAGCGAATAAATGAGTTTTTTTAAAGTTGTGTACGCTATATACTTAGACGACCATTCCGGAACAGCGTTGAATTGCAATGAGTGAGAAAACTTCATCTTAATTCAAGTGACCAGCGCAATACTAAAATGAAAAAAAGAATTATCCACTATGACAGTCAATCTTGAAAAGTTCACTTATTATGCTATTTTCTCTATTGTAGTTGGGCCAAGCACCTTACAAAAAAAAAAAAAAGATTTGAATGGTTATACCCTTCCGATGTGTGCGAAGCAGACACGACCTTTGGCTAATGTGGCACCAAGTGCTATTGAATGTGCTGCAAGGATCTCGAGAGCCAAATTTAGGCTCACTGCTGACACTAGATAGGATTTTACCACTTAAAAATAAGGAGAAAATCAAGCTATATATAGTAAAAAGACCCTAATTGTGCAAAATCATTCTGGAATTGTTGAATTCCTATAATATGAGAATATGAGCTTTCACCAAACTCGATAAGCATGGAAAGAGCGAATAACAATACACGTGCTTTAGCTTCCTCGCATCAGGAATTACAATATTACTGGTTGCAATGTGATACGTATATTCCCATGAACGTCTAATTCAGAAGGAATAAAGTACAAGGGAAGCAAAATTTGTAAACAAGTGCTTCATTGTCGATAATTAGGCTTACATTAGAGAAGGTATTGAATCGCATTCTTTCTGAATTGTGATATTGCATTGCAATGCCGCCGTTTACGTTAGAAAACAATAGATCGAAAATCGCACAAAATATTAGAGAAAAAGGAAATGGGAAAACACCATATTCGGGCATTGATTATGTAGATAAGCGCTGACATTTCAGAACCGTGTCGTGTGACACGTAAGTGGATAAGATGAATTTTCTCACTACTGTGTTCTTTGAATAGAATCTACGACTGCTCAATATATGTGGCACCCAAAAGGGCTAAGGGCGGTACACCATCTCTGTCATCTTTCAAGATAACCTAAAAGCTTAAATTTGAAACTCCGCAATAATCGAATTTCTGATGAAGGATGGAACGCTAATCCTTGGTCAATTTAGACGTATGGAAATGTTTTGAAAGCATCAAAATATTAAATTACAGTGCATGATGAATGCATAGTAATGTAAACGCATATGTAGTACTACGCTTACCCTAGCGAAAAAAACAAAAATAAAAAAAAAACTTAAAAATTCAAAAAAACTTCACACGTCATACTACATATAATTTGATGTAAGAGATTTATTTCACGCTAAGCTAGTTGATGCCCATATGATTTGTTCAAAATAATCTCCGAGAAAACTCTGGGACCAACACAAATATCTTACCAGGACACATCTCAACTCACTATGCCTAGCACCCGGAATATTTTTTGCAACCCCACTTAAGCTCCCCCGCCTGATCAACATATATTCTTCTTTTTTCCACCTTGCTTGCTTTTTTTCCTGCTTTCCCCCACAAAGGAAGCCTAATAATTTCCGAGAAACTTAACCATACTGCATATACCACCACATTTCGGTGGACTTTCACGGAAAAGCTAGATAGCCAAACTGGAATTGCCTCTAGAGAATATATTAGTGCAACATTCCTGAAGAAGAAAATCAGAAAAAGAAACTTACTAATTTTAATTATATGTCCATTGGGATATCAGCAAACGAATTAATACTTAAGTGGATAATTAATACTTATAGATTTATAGAAGATAAAGATTTTTCCAAGAATCCATCATCACCAGCCCTAATTCCTAAGACTAATTCTACTTTTCATCAACTTTTTACTTACTGGAATAGATTGTCGTCAAGTGGAAGAAAGGCTATACTCTTAAGTTCAATTTCATTATTTACTACCTACTATATATTAGCACCTACTATATTTCCATCCAAAAAAATGTTTACTAAGAGACCAGATAAGCATACTACTGGATTAATCAATCTTAGAAATGACTGTTTTGCCAACTCTACGTTGCAAGCTTATCTGTCTTTACCTGGATTGACCGAATATTTAAATAAATTTATCGGAGCATATGATACAATTAAGAGATTATTGCCCGATTCCAAATTCGAAGAAGAAATTGAAAAGGACCTGGCTAAACGTGGAATTCCATTACATATTGCCTTGGCAAAAATTTTGAAAAAATTACAAGAAACTCAGCTAACTACCAGAACTGTTAGTGTCTGGACATTTTTGCACACTTTAGAAACAATATTTCATGCAAAAATTTCAAGATCCCAACACGATGCCCACGAATTAACTCAATTGATCAATGAAACTTTAGAAAATGAGAACTTAGGCTTGCAAACTCTCCTTAAAACTCTATTAGAAAAAGACAACAAAGAAGTAAACATTGCTATCAAGGAACAGTTATCAGGATTAGAAGCACCTGAATTTCCATTGAGTGGATTAACATTAACCCACATGGTATGCTTAACATGTAAACATGTAAGTACACCTTCTTTTGTTCCATTTCTAATGTTGACCTTGAATACCCCAGAAAAATTTAATACTGAGTTGGAAACCATACTTGATGAGAATGAAAGCGAAACGATTGAAGGATATCAATGTTTGAAGTGCAGAATTTCCAAAATTGTTGAAAATGAGGAGCATTTGAAAGCCAACGGTGAATCTACTGGCGATGATAAAGATATGCTTACCAAAATTTTCACCTTAGATAAGAATCCACAATTTTGCATCAATGACGATTTACCAAAAGAGTTAGAAGAATACATCAAATCATATAAGAAAGGTGGGTTGGATATCTCTAAAATCACTTCGACTGTTATGAGGAAGAATCAAATTTTGAAGCCACCGAAGATTTTTGGGATTCATCTTTCTAGATCAAGTTTTGATGGAGTTCAAATCACAAGAAATTCCTGCAGAGTTGCATTCAAAGATCAATTAACTTTATCTATAGGAAAGGAATATATCGACGAGCTACAAAAGTTCAAAGAAGACTCTTCTAAAGAAAAAAAAGAAGGTATCAATATTAAATCTAAGGTCTTGACAACTGATGTCAATGATATGGAAGATGAAGAAGTTCAGAGAGAAGATATCGATGAAAAAGGAGAAGAGGACGACGACGAATTCACGGGCTCTAGTGCGACTGATACTGATGGAAATAGTGGAGACAATCATACCGATGAAACAGATGAAGCACCTGAAGCTGAACTCGATGATGATTCTTCTTCTCTTACGTCCACAGAGTCTGTTGGAGGGGAATCAGTAACTACTTCTGCTACTTTAAAGGGGGGCTCTACTATTACTGCCACACCTCTGATATTTTCAGAGCAGGCACCTTCTTCCAGAGTTCCTGAGACTTTAAATAACGCACCAATTACTGAAGACCAAACGGATGACTTGAAAGGACATTTCAAAAGCTTTAAATTCAATGATAATGATGTTTACAAATACAGGCTTAAAGCTTTGATCAGACATCAAGGTTCTCATACTCAAGGTCATTATGAATGCTACAAGAGAAAGCCATTATTCGTGAAAGATAAAGATGGAACCATTTTCAAGCTTTCTCCTGAGATCGATGATGAACTTATAAATGATGAAAGAGAAACAGAGAAAAAAGAAGGACCAGATGGTAAGGATGCAGTTGCAGTCAAGCCAATGTCGAGTGAAGATCATCAGAGATTTATCAACTCCAGTGAAAATGGAGAACTGAAAGCTGGAAGTAATCAATTCCGTAGAAGATTTTCTAGTATAATGGGTAGACGTCCATCCGTTGTTCAAAGTCATCATGCAGATTTAAATATCCAGGAGATAATTCACTCTGGCACTCAAACCCCAGCTGAGATTCTAGTGGACAATCCTGAGCAGCAAGATTATTTCAGTGCATTTAAGGATCCCTTCCCTCAAGATCGCAAGAGGGGATCATCCAAGGCAGACAAGAAGGTTAAAATGACAAAAATTCCCTCTTTGATCAAAAATCCTTATTGGAGAATTAGTGATTCTCAAATCGTTGAAGTATCTCGTAGTGCAGTTTTATTTGAAACTGGCAGTGTTTACATGCTATACTACGAAAGAGTAGATAGAAAGCAAATCAAAAGATCATAATTAACTATAATAGCATGACTATTATGCCTACTAATATTAACACCTATAAGATTATAAATATTGATAATATATACTATATAACTTAACATTTATGATAGCAATTATTATGATTGAACAGTATTTCTATTTTTTTTTTTTTTTTTTTTTGAGGTGCAATATCGCGAGTACACCAATGACCTCATAAAATCATTGAAAGCTAAAAATCTTTGAACGTTGAGTTCATTAGCAAATATCATAAACATGAGTGGCGGTCGACCTGGCGGTTTGTTTCCTGCACCAAATTCTGCTCAGCGTGTATCAGCTAGTTTGAAACCAGGTTTAACTTCTCTAGGAGTTGGAAAACAGAGGCAAAGAGAAAAAGTCGCTTTACAACCGGGCCACTCACCACTTGACTGGGCACACTTAAATAGCACTCAACCAAGGCATGTTTTAAGGGGATTAGAGCCTTCAGCGGCCCCTCCAATGTATACGAGAGTCACTAAAGAAGAATTAAAAGAACACAAGACCAAAAACGATTGCTGGACATCAATTAATGGGAAAGTCTTCAATATAACACCCTATGTTGATTTTCATCCAGGTGGCGTAGATGAAATCATGAAATGTGCTGGAAAAGACGGAACTACCTTATTCAATAAGTATCATAGTTGGGTTAGTGCCGATAGAATGTTAGAAAACTGCCTTGTAGGTGTTTATGTCAAAGAATGAAGTAACGATAACAATATTTATTTAGTAATTTTCAAAATTACGATTATAATCTAATTTAATGTATTTTACTTGTAAACATCTTCTCCAAGTACAATGCAGTCTAGGCTCCAATCGTGAGCTTCTGTGGGTATGTGGTCAACTAGTTGTTGGGTTAGCCCTATACCAATAATGTAAGGTGGTTTTCCAAACTTTGTTTGATACGTACTAAGAAATTCATCATAAAAGCCCGCTCCATGACCAAGCCGTTTTTTATCAGTAGTGAAAGCAACCCCCGGCACTATAATAACATCCAATCCATCTTTAGATTCCAATAGATCATTCCCAGTAGTTGGTTCCAAAAGATTGTATTTCCCTTGTGGTTGCAATTGTGAAATTTCTTCAAATGAAGGTATTTCTAACATTTGCAAGTGATTGCTCATCCTTCCATCGGCGGCATGGTACAAACACCTCGGTAAGTAGAGCTTTTTGTTTCTCTTGAAGCATTTTTCGATAATTGGAAGTGTTCGTGCTTCCATTTTAGGCATACTCATGTACAATGCAACCGATCTTGCATTTTGAAATTCTGGGATATTACTCAATGCTTCGCATATAGATAATGATTGGCTTCTCAATTCACTGTTGGATAGGGAGAGAAGCTTTTTTTTAACAAGCTTACGGAGTTCTCGTTTAGCTATCGCAATCTCCATCTGTCAGTTCATGAAGGCACAAGAAGCACTCTATTGAGAATTTCTTTTGAAAAATGTCTGGAAGATCAAAGCGCGCGGAAATACCAGTCGAAAAAATAGCGATAAAAAAAAATACAGATAAAGATAATATTATTCTAATCATCTATTTATGCACATTATTTACTTACAGCTATAACTTTTTCATCAAATCTAACAGACTTTCTTCTTTCTCCATTATAGTCGGTAGGGATTTCTAAATCGATACCATCACCAACTTCTTCTTTAGCATTGGCCAACATATCTCGAATTGAAGCTTTATCTTTCAGAGCTCCAGAACTTGACTTACGTCGTTGCTGAATTTGCAAATCATCTTTACATTTTTGGCATCCGCAGATGAAACCCCAATTGACTCTGAGTTCACGTTGACGTTGCTGAACAGTGTGAGCTGGATTGACGTAAGTTGTAGTAAGTTCTTCTCCAGATCTAATTTCCCTTGCTGCAATTACCTTCAATCCATCAACCCTATTAGTAAGTGACGTTTCAACACTCGTATTAGGATTACAATTGTGATTCAAATGTGATTGCGTAAGGTAGATGCAAGAATCCAAATTATTAATATTGTAAGTACCCATCATATACATAAATTCATCAAAAGACATGTCACCGTTTTCTGCAGAGATTGGAAATACTTTAACGAATTTATTGTATCCCTCATTCCAAAGTACCTCTTGTTGTTCTTGCACAAATAATGCGCCACCATTGAAGGTATCAAAAGAGCCAGCCGAAGAATTAATTGCTTTATATCTCGTCGCCTGAGAAACTCTTGCCATGGCCCTAAATTGTTTGCCTTTAACACCTGTTTTGTCGTTCAAAATACTTGCATATACAATGGCAACAGCATACAAAGCATTCCATTGCTCCTTCTCTGCATACTCCTGGAGTTCTAAGAAGGCGTTTGCATCAATTTGCTTCTTTTTATTGCTGCTTCCTCTTGCATTGGGATTGAACACATTGTGCTTTAAAACATTGTGCAATTCAGAGTCAGCTCTTTTACAGGACTGAGAACACCATAGTTCTGAGCAAATGTTGCAGTCCAAACCTTTCAATACTGAAATTCCGGCATGGGATGAGTTCTGCTGAAGAAGCTTTCCACAGTAAGCACATGCCTTTCCACTTTGAATCAACTTCAATTTGGAGAGCGGTGGGACGTTGAATAACTGCGATTCTTCAAATATAACTTCGCCCTTAGATATTTTAGTCTTTGCATATAATCCTTTACCTCTTTTTGAAGTCAACACTATATGCACCTTTGGAGGTAATTCAATGTCTGGAGTGTAAATTGATTTGATCTCATTTGCATAGGTAAATTTCTCTTGAGAAGCACTGGAAAGTAAGCCAAATTTCTTCAACAAAGTCTTAACTCTTTTCTCTGAAACAGACCAATTGGGGTATTCACTTTTTATCAAAGCATGTAATTTGGTAATTCCAAGAGATTCCGTCGATGGGTCCTTCTTCCAAATTAAAATTACAGCATCGACAATCTGGCGCTCATGGGGGATGATTGGCTCTGTCAGTTTTTCTTCATAGTCATTTATCTTGACAATCTCTGTCCTCTCTGTCAGAGATTCTGGACTAGACATCACCTAAGAGTACAATAAGCAGAAGATCGTGGTAAGAAAGAGACCAGAAAAAATAGTGAGAGCAGTTGTTCGACTTGCGAAATTCGCTCGAAATTCAAAATTTTCACCAAAAAAATAATGTAGCATGGAAGAGAATAAATTCTCATGAAATGGTGAAGGTAGAAGTGATTTGGTATGGGATGGTAGGTTAATACTTGAGGAGTAAAAAAATGATTAGATAAAAAAAATAGCTACTAGGTGCATCGATTCTGAAGTTGAACTACAATTAGAAATATGAGATGCATTTTCATAAAATTCATAATCTCCACTACCACCAACTCTTCTTCTTCGCAGCCTTTATTTTATTCAGCTCTCGTCCAGTGTCTACCAAAAGAGCATCACTCTTAACCAAAGTCTTGCCATTTTGGGAAAGTATTACTCCGCTTAAGTGAATATGCTTTGGATCATCATTGTCATTATTTGAAGGTCTTGTCTTAATAATTAAAAACTGGTTAGCCAAACTCGGATATCTGTATGATATACTTAAATTTTCAACCTTAAAGTCACCTTTAATATTTGAACTAGTCGAACTAGAGAGAGAAGCATTTCTCTTGAATGTTTCATTAAGCAAAGTAGCTAACATTCCTCCATGTACTAGAAAGGGATACCCGCACAATCTGTAACCAACATGGACTATAGTTACTCCTTCATCAGTGTCAATATTATGAAAAATAACGGGCTCAACAGCAATTCCTCCCTTTTGAGCCAATATTTTATTAGTGAGGGCAGGCTTACTATACTCTTCTTCTGTCTTGATCTTATAGGGAGCTTCTAAGACATTTTTGTCTAGATTTTCCCATGACTTCATCTGAACCCAATTTTCCCCTTTCTTGGGATATGCTAATTTTTCGTATATTGGTAAGTTTTTCAATTCATACTCCAACTTTAAACGAGTAGATTGATCATCAGCACTGCTATCAGTATAATCTGAATATAAATCAAACAAAGTTTCGTTATATGCCAAATACGAACCTCCTACAAAGAATAGCGCAGTTGTTTTCCAATTGAACCATGACTTTGGTGCCCTTTTTGGTAAGTGATCAAAGGGGGAATCGAATTCTCCCCGTGTGGCGAATTGCCTAAAGCACGTTAATTTCCTTCCAAATCCTAACCCAAGTAATCTTCGGTTATTGGTTTTGTACATTTTAGCTAATAAAATCGCCAAAGTAGCTTTGTATTATTTGTCTAATCCTATCTTAATTAAGAGTAAGGGAATATTGATTCCTGTATAATTGAATTTCACACGACCAAGTCTCTCCACATTTTCTTAACAGGATGGATTATGACAACAAAAGCACAGAAGAAATAACAGATAAAATTAAGGAACCAGGAAATCATAAACTACTACTTGAATCGGATTATTTGCCCTTCTTTTTCAGTTTCTCCCAATAAATTTCCAGTCCCTATTACCCATTTATTTCAGATAGAAACAGATATAACGCGAGAAATCAGATGGGTACTTCTATTGCACATAAAACAGCTTCTGGGAAAGTAGATTAAATAATCTAAGTATTATCTCTTTAATAGAGAATACAATATGCAAGAAACAAAATCTTGAGTAAATTTGTAGAAACTCGCAAAGATCAACATGGCAGAGATAAGCCGAAGGGACTTTCTATGGAGAGACAGAGGTAGAAAGATGACGGGGCTATATAAAGGTTGTCAAAACGAACTGATCAAATAAAGCACTCACAATCCATTTCGTTCACAAACATTCAAGAAGAAGAGAAGCATCTGCAACAAAACATTTTCGTGGTCAGTTTTTTCTTTGGAATTTGATTGTTCTATAATAATTCTTGAACCTCCTATAAAATAAACAAAATGGAAAATTTGCCTATGAATAATTGTATAAAGAAATAAAAACAGTGATACTTCTCCAGTATTCAGTGGAAGTTTTCAATGTTTTGGATCAAAATTGTAGAAAACCTATCACTCTACAGGGTAATTTTGAAGAGTAGGTAATTCAATCTGCTTTTGTACTCAAGTGCAATCTACTAGTAGGTTCTTCCAAATATAGAGATTACGTCTATCACCGCCGGCCGTCAATTGGGGAAAAATGTCGGGTCATGATATGTGCAATGTAATATTCATGGTTTGCATCTGTCTTCACTGACTGAGGTAGTGTCGCTTTGGAATAGCAAGCTTTCAACGAAATGTCCCTTTTAATAAAGGAAGAATCACATAAGTAGAACAAAGATATCTTATTGGCACCAATCGATGATTAACCAATTTTAAAATCAGTCTTTAACATTTTTGTAATCTTGACAAAAGCTGTAGCCATGGATCAAAGAAGCTATTCAAGAGACTCTAAATTAAGATATAAGGGATTCAATCTCTGGATATTAGATCAATACTGTCCTGGTAGTTAATACACAAGAAAAAAACCATGGGGTTCATAGACATCTAATACTATGTATATTCATAAAGAGTGACATACAGCACTTTCCTAAATAAGACTTGAAATTGTAGCTATTCCACTAGGACACAACATACCTATGGTACAGATTGTATTTCATATACATATCGTTGGGTACTTACAATTACATGACCATATAACAACCATCGAATACTTCAATTGAAGCTCTAAAGTAAAGGCGGTACATTTTGATCTCCAGAGCTGGCAATGTCAGAAGAACATAAGCTTTTGCAATTCGTACTTCAGGTAGTAACATGAATACTTAGGTGTACGTGTTTATCTATGCGATGTATAGCTTTAATCACAAGACAGTATCTGTGGGCGATATATTGTTCTTCATCAATAAGCTTCACTAATAAACGACTCCCCTTGTCCAAAAGTACTGAAAGAAATGCTTCAAATATTACTATAATGCTTAAGAACATGTTGCTACAATAATATTCCCTTTCACAATAGAATTGGATATATGTGGACATTGTAATTCATCTCAATTATTCTTCATATAATAATTTCCCAATCAGCATGCTTATGTTAGTACTAACATCTTATAATGAGATAACACACTAATTATCATCAGGTTGACTTCAAGTATTCAACAATGATATGCTTCTATAGGTCCTACGATACAAAATATTTTCAATGTACCCACACATTCACACATATTTCTCAGCATATCAGCTTAGCTACTCTTAATAATACTTTTATTAGGCAACTGCAAGTGTCTTGCCAATTATACGTATGCGGGTAAGCGAACTCTTTCCAAGATGTTCACATAAGTAAGAAATGTCTTTGGTATATTTACCTTTCTTCGCAACAAGTTGATATGTCCATTAAGAAAGTAGGCACTCTGAGCAATAATGCAAGTTTGGCTAAAGTGTTTTTATTTCCTTTACACTTTAATGTTACTACATATTTAAATTGTGACTACTTCCCTTTTGATAAGAATATACAGATAGTAAGTTATAACTTTTCTATCTAGAGGCATTCATGAGAAGTATTTGTATTAATCGTAATAATCAAATAACGATTACCAGGACCTCTCTTCAGACAGTTGGAATATATGTTGTTTATTATATGGAGTACTTAGCTAGATTCTACGTGCCCATTGAGTTTCTCATCATGAATCGAATCGAGGCTTTCTTGGTGTTTATTTTTTCAAATTGCTGCTGATCCTATTTATGATCTGCTTTAAGTTAAATGCCCTCGTTGGTATATCACCATTTCTTTCTTGAGCGTGAAGATTTTGAAGCGTGTGATATAATATCTATGCGAAGAAATGAATATTTTAAAATATAGGACCTTACAGATGCATCAACTTGAAGTGATTATTTTTCTTTGTATCTATCCACTCATATTTTATGGTTTATTGTTTGTGATTTTCGATTTTCTCCCTTTCTATAGTAGCTACTTCCTTGAAGTTCTCAAAAATGTTTAATGTATACACTCAGAACTCTCTTTATAGTTTTTTTTTTGATGTGAAAAGGGCCTACTTTGATCTACAATTTTGGCATATTTACTCTTGTTGACTCTTACCCAAATATTGTAAATCTTGAATTATATTGTCTCTCCTGGATTCTGTTTCTATGCTTTTTATATGTGAAAGAGGTCAAAGTGGGCTCTGCTATGTTTTTTATTTAAGCTGTACTTCTGGCGTACTTACTCTTGCTGATTCTCACCCAAATACCGTATATTTTGAATTTTACTGTCTCAGTCGATATTGGGTTGGAATAGTATTTTGGATTCTGTTGATAATTTTTTTTTTTTGTGAAAAAGGTCAAAGTGGGGTTTGCTATGTTCTTTAATTAAACTACATATTTGGCAAAATTACTCTTGCTGATTCTCGCCCAATTACAGTATAATTTGGATTATACTGTCTTAGTCGATATTGGGTTGGAATAGTATGAATTTTATTTCGTTTATTCCAGCTGAATTTTCATGTGGCTCCATCTCGTAAATAAGGTTTCATCTATGCGCGATGCGACCTATTTCTGCGACTGTCGCAAAATGATAACTTATGATATGACTAATCAATCACTCTCGGAATAATTTTTTCAATTTGCTTCAATTCAGATGCTTTACTTCCTTGTCAATTGAACCTTAAACAACATGAGTGGTATGAGTAGGAGAAGCTCACGTCAAGAGTCTATCTCCCTAAACACATTAGATGGACTCTCTGAAATTTCTGGACTTTCATCTCAGCACACAATATCTTTACACACTTTAGATGAGATGTCCGTCCACGAAAGTGGCCTAAGATCTAGAAGGGGTACGACAGTCTTGAGTACCCCTAAAGTAGACATTTCATTAAACCTTATGTATCAGAGTGAGAAAAATCCAGAAGAATTCCCGGATGGCGGAACTGAGGCGTACATTGTTGTTCTAGGTTCGTTTATAGGTCTCATAATAGATTTTGGTATTGCTAATTCTTTAGGTGCTATTGAATCGTATGTTTCCTCAAACCAGTTGAAAGATGTTAGTCAAACTAGTGTGTCGTGGATCTTTTCATTACATTTAGGGGTAATGTATTTTGGGGGGGTATTTTTTGGATCGGTATTTGATCGGTTTGGGGCAAGGCCTCCAATGATTGTTGGTACTTTACTAATGTGTTTGGGCCTTTTATTCACTGCTGAAAGTACAAAGGTATATCAGTTCATTCTATCATTTGGTGTTTTGACAGCTTTAGGGACATCATTGGGTATGCAACCGTTGATCGGAGTATTATCGCATTGGTTTTTAAGGAAAAGAGGTATGGCATGTTCGCTTGCCACAATAGGAGGGTTGGTAGGTTCTGCTGTGTTTGCTATAATGTTACAAAACTTATACGTTTCGATTGGTTTTAAATGGGCAATTCGAGTATTGACCCTCATTGGTTTCATTTGTATGGCCACATCAACGCTTCTAATTAAAGAAAGGACTTTTGAGAAATCTGAAGACGAAGGGGAAGTAAATAAGACTACGATGCAAAAATTGAAACTATTTGGTCAATTTTTTCGGGAGGCTTTGGACTTTTCCATGGTTAAAGATATCAAGTTCGTACTTCTCACTACTTCGGTGGCACTTTCGGAACTTATATCCATGTCTACATTAACATACCTCTCATCATTCGCTATCTTCTATGGAGTTGATGAGAAGCAGGCATATTTACTTATTACTATTATTAATGCTTGCGGTATACCTTCAAGGCTTGCGCTGGGTTATTTAGCTGATAAATATGGAAGATTTAACGTAATGATCGTTACCTCTATATTTGTTACAATTAGCATATTTGGTCTATGGCTACCAGCAAAAGGGAACGTGGCGGTATTGTACGCCTTTGGAGTATTATTTGGGATTTCCACTTCTGCTGTTATTTCATTGATTCCAGCTTGTTGTGGACAAATATGTTCTTCGGACAATTTTGGAAAGGTATACGGGACATTATATTTCTTTTTAGCGTTTTCCACCTTATTAGGAATGTATTTGTCAAGTTTAGTTGTGGGTACTGGGAAAGATTTGAATTATATGAACTTAGTATACTACGAGGGCGCATTGTCAATCGGATCAACTATTACTTGGATTTTAGCTCGCTGTTCATCTGTAGGCTGGAAATGGGCAAAATTTTAGATATGTAAACTTTTTTGTTGAATTTACTAATATACGGAACTCTTGGAACTTAAAAAGGAGATAGTTGAATGTAGCTGATGCAAGTTAATTTCAAAATTGTCAGCCACTTCAGTATTTTTGAAGCAGAATTATATGGTTTCTAACCCAACTGATCCAAAAATCAACTTCTATTTCCAATCCGTTACGACAGCCCCCATTCTTCTGTTGGGCAAAAATTTACTAATCTGATCAATTGCTTCTGTAGTCAAAATTTTGATTTCAAACTCATACTTGCCATGATTCAAGTCTTATAATTATATCCTTTCCAAAATTAAAAAGGAATTTTTCGACTTCGTATAGAAATCGTACAATGAAATCAAAATTTCTACAATAAGTTGTTAAGTAATAAAT